AAAGCCATTGCTGTCATGTTATTATTACCATGTCGTTAACTTATTTTTATGATCCAATAAAAAAATTTGATAATATATAGTGACTGGTTGTCATTACACATTGAACATACTGCATGGAATGTGTATGTCTTGAAAAAAATGTAGCCATAGACAGCAACTTATCCTCAGACCTAAAAAAGCTTTTATACATCTTACAGTCATGTTATATAGACTTTAAATCAAAATATTAACATGACAGACTGATAATCTCAAAGTCAGCCATATTGTCTGTATATGTGAATATACAATTAAGAAATAAATTATGCATTTTTTAAGGTATTTGCCATTTTGTTGATCAAGTGATAAATAAATTAACAGTTACATGTTAATTGTAATCGCCATCAGTTCCAAGTCAATATGAGTGCTTTGAATTCAGTTGCTGATTTGATCGACAGTTGCAACTGGTTGAAAGCAGTTGTTCCGAGTTGCAAAGTCGACATACAATGTAAGCCTGCTTAAATCTACAAATATTAATCTAATAAAGCCGAAAAGAAATAGGCATGGGATCTTCAACAGATTTTGGCAAAAAAGAGGCCTAACCCTAAAAATGTCAATCTAATTTTGCCGTAAAGAATAGGGATCATCATCTTGTTATATTTCAGAAACATCTGATAAAAACTGTAACCTCTAATTTTCTGACAAGAAGTGTGGAAAGATGGACGTAAAGGGTGATTGTAATATGTGGATATTCTTTTTTTAAGGAATCCAGTCTCTACTTACATGTACATGTGACAATCCAATAAATTGAGGTGAATGTAGAATGTTTAAAGGACAATATTGGTGCCAGTTATTATCACATATGTGATAGAACTGGTTAAACATGTTCCAAAAATTATTTTATCACAGAGATCATTGCTACGATAGATGAGTAATCAATGTTCCAACAATAGGAATTGACGAACGCAAAAGGAAAACATGAGTTATCCCTCTATTATAACTGGCTGAAGTGACGGATGATAACAGATACATGGGTGAATTTCTGCTCACTAAAAATTCCTTCAAAGACCAAAAGTTGTTATATGAGACTGTAAGAGTATATCTGACAATTCAAAAAAGTAATTGAATGTCATTAGATAAGAGAACACGAGAAAAATAGAAACAAAAATAGAAACAGTCCATACATTACTGGTGTTTATTCATTCTATACTTATAAAAACATGGTAATGCACAGACTTTTTCTATTTTTCTTTCATGTTCTCTTATCTAGTGACAGTCAATTTTGTTTATGAATTGTCAGATATCCTTTCACAGTCCCATACAACAACTTTTGGTCTTCGAAGGAAATATTAGTGAGCAGAAATTCGCCATGTATCTGTTATCACCCGTCACTTCAGTCAGTTATAATAGAGGGATAACTCATGTTTTCCTTTTGCGTTCGTCACTTCCTATTGTTGAAACATTGATTACTCATCTATCATAGCAATGATCTCTGTGATAAAATAATATTTGGAATGTGTTTAACCAGTTCTATCACATGTGATAATGACTGGCACCAATATTGTCCTTTAAACTTTCTATTCTATTAGCTGTCCACCATCTTTCGGAGAAAGCAGGCTCAGGTAGAATGTTCAAACTTTGTGTATGTATACGTACATACATGTACAGTAGGTCTCCATAAAGTGAATGTCTTGACTGATCAAGTTCGATGATGATTTTTTTTTCACGTCTCACAGTAATGGCTGCCAAATAATGGCAAGAAAACAGTTAAAATATCAATAAAGAAAGGATACTCCTAAATGATATCATGCATAAAACACCATGGATGACTTCTGGCTCATCTTTTGATACTTTACATACATTTTGCGTAAAAGGCGAGGGTCATAACCAAAGAAGTTCAGGTCTGATGCGCACTCATTCAAAAGTCTTTCGATCTTTAATACACATACATGTAATGTTTATATAATATACATTTACATGTACATATATATGCATATGTGATGTTCATCTAAATAGGAAAAAAATTGTGGCCTCTAGAGGGTCCACAAATATCAATACATGTATGTATTACATGCTTTATCACTATCTGCGTAAAGGGGAGGGTCAAGGGGCCATTTTGACAGGAAGTTTTGGTGCGATTTTCATCAAATTCATTAATTATGGTGTGTACATTGTAACAGAGATATATTTGAATGTTTTCAAAATCGAAATAGAAATTGTGACCTCTAGAGGCCATAACCCATGAAGTTACAGTCCAATACATGTACTTGCCAAGATCTTTGGGTTATATACATATATTTTTAGTTTTTTCAAAATGGGATAAATTTTTTTGACCTCTCATACAATCAGGGGCAATAATCTATGAAATTGGTCTTACAGTTAGATTACTCAGATACATGCCAAAATTGAACCCATCCGATATCCTTGGGATACATGTATAAACATATATTTCAAGTTTCATCGTAATCCTATAAAAATTTTAACCTATAGAGTAGCCACAACCAAATGTGAATGTATGGGCAACATCATAATACATCTACATGAAAATGTGGGCATATAAAAATACATGCATGTTCAGCTCTGTTTTACTACATCTAGTACTATAAGGTCATCTATTCAACCCACGATCTCTGATGGTCTGATATTTGTAATGAACAGGATAAATGAAACTAGAGATTGACTTTCATCTGGATTATCGCTCTTATTGTTAAAAAAATTTGATGGTCTAACTCATGACGTCAATTGACAGGCTATCACCATTTAGGAGAAAACCACCGTCAAGACTGGTCGCATTATTTCTATTACATCATTCTTGTAAACCATTCATTGATTTTTTTCATTTTGAGTGAAGCCTGCATCATTACAGACCATGGACTGTACAGTACAATGGACGCTTAAGACTCATCCCCTTGATTTGAAATTTGTTGTTTATTTCTTGCAATGTCTGTGTTGTTTGTATTGTCCGCAGGTTTGTCTTATCGGTTTTGTTTTGCGTGTACATGTATGTTAATAGTAATAAAGACTATTAAAATAAAGGGGATCACGTGGCTAAGTGGGCAAGAAGCTGGCTCACTAGCCTGAAGGTCGGGTGTTCAATCCCTGCATTGGCCGAGAAAGTTCATCCAGATTTTCCGGCGTGGTTTCCCCTTGTCAGTGATGCAGGACGGAGGGCCGTCTTCATTAGCCCAGTTTAGGAGCAGAACAGTAGGACGTTAAACCCCATTTCATTTCAATTAAAATAACCTTTCTTCTGTTCTACCATTTGTACATGTATCTGATTATGTGCAGATTCATTAAAGCAGATTCATTCATCTTTTTTTTACAAGTACAATTTACATAATACACTGGGTCATTTCAAGTTTTTGTTTAATATCTAAAAAGGTTTTATGACAACTAAAATTACATAACATTTTTTTTAAATATTCAGCTACATGTATGTAAATGTATATGCTCATCTAGTGGCATCTACTGATGATCATTTAAACACCACAGATCAATAAAGAATAGGATTACATATAGTTTTTCCACACACCCAAGTTGATTCATTTTAACAGACTAGTAAGGACATTATTTATTCATGATTAACACTACATGTACACTGTACAACAACCCATACACCATCATTGATATGTGCCCCCCCCCACCCTCCACTGTATATTCTATCTTCACTTTATCTGTGTGATCAATCCTAAACTTGTATTTGAATAATAGACTTTATCTCAGTCTACCCAGCCGTAAATGTACATGTACTTAAACAATGTTTCAAAAAGAGGGGGTGGGGGGAGCACCGGAATATGGGGTTCGTGCTCTCGTAATGCTTCACATGAAATTTGAAAAAAAGCTACTATTTTAATCCAGATTAGCGAGCCAATGTCGTACCCACTGGGTCACCGTAGCTCCCTTCGGAAGGTTGATCATCTTTTCCATAATTCTTGCGAATTCTCTTTAAATTTGGTGGGAAGAACTGGGGTCATTTGGATATCTCAGTATTCTGCGATATTCTGTTCCTGAGTTATGTCCCCTTTTCTGCACACCTTGTGAACTCAACAGAAACTGTACAGCATTAAGCCTGTAAGAGGATTAGCCCTTTTGATTTTCAAATTTGGTGTGAAGCATTGGGATGCATTGATCTTATTAATCTTAAACATTCTCAGCCTTTTTCTTCAAGAGGTATGTGTATGTGACATGTAAAAAAAAACTTGTGAACTCAATAGAGATCTGACTTTTTAAAGTTTACATTACAATCAAGTTTTCAGATCAGATAATTGCTATCTATGGCCATCCTTTTTTTTTTAAGACACATAGCTAGCCAGTTGCTGTGTAGGCCTAGGGAAACATAGTCGAAATGTTGCACATAATCAAGTAGGCTACATTCTCTTTGAATTAGCTCCTTGTTATTAATGTAAATTAAAATTGCCAATTTGGCTTAAAAAACAGTAAATTATCAAATATAGATTATCATTATATGAGTTGAAATAATGGTGGATTTGGCTAAATCGTGTTAATTAACCCTTGGAATTCGCATTTTGCGGGGCATTTTGACACAATAAACGTCACGATTGTAATGTATATAAAATGACAATTTGGCATAAAGAACGGTATATTATCAAATATATAGTATGAAATATCGATATTAATTATTATCTGTAAGTTGAAATAATGGGGGTTTTGGCTAAATCGTGCTACCGTGTTGCGTTATGCCAATTGTTGTTGTTACTTAGGAAAGGACAACATTATTGAACAAATTGTTAGGCCCTAATACTAATACTAATAGAAACATTTTCTGAAGAAAAACAACAACATTCCTTTCGTCAGTGTACATGTATTAACTTTTTTTTTTTTTTACTTTATATAGTTTCGTTCGTTGAGTAAATCTTAATATAAAGACAGGTTTCTGTTTAAATGTCGTGCAAACAATTTGTCAGTCTGACATACGAGTAAATAGAGTTGAAGACGGTGAAAACATTCTGACACATTTATGCGATCCGATATATTTCTGGATTAGAAAATAATTTTAGACCTACCCCAAATATTAAGCCACCCTTCAATTCTGCCGGGTAAATGAAGCTTTAAACTATATTTTCCAACAGCCATTCTGTGCTCTGGTGATAATCCATTTAACTGTCCATCATATTTAATCGCATAAAATTATTCTTGAATGAATGAATCCATTACACACGTTTCCGTCGATGTTCAAACATGGTATATTAACCGCCTTACATCTCGTAGTGATATCTTAAAACGGATTATTTCAATAATTAAATTATTCATTGTTTCAAATAATTATTCTTTTTAGTCATATAATACATAAGTAAATTACTTTTAATGTATGAAATAGTCAATAATTGAATAATTCCAAAATGATTTACATTGTTCTAAGTGTTTTTAAACTAGAACTCTTTTGTATCTAATTTATGTCAACATAGTGACGAGGCTAACAAATGTTTTTACCTGAACTAAAAATAGTAACAACGTGACACCTGTAAGCTAGGCGGATCCAAAGAGTACGAATAAGACAGCAAAGACGTCCGGGACATCAATGCATATTTCAAAGTCTTTAGTACACTGCCGCCACAACACTAGCTAAAGAAGATTTAGTTTAAAATACTTAGTAGATAAATGGATTTATATCGAAATGAACGGAGGTTGTTAATTAGGGCAACCTCAGAAAGTTGGAATACTTTTTTTTTTTCACAACCACATAGGCCTACATGTAAAATATAAACGTCTGATTTACAAAGAAAAAAATTAATTTTAAACTAAATTTTTTTATTTTACAATTGTTATTGTTATTTTATTTAAATCATTTTGATTAGATTTAGAATATTAATTGTCAATGTTTGTACAAAAATTTGAAAATAAATCAATGAAATGAAATGGGGTTTAACGTCCTATTTCAGCTCCTACACTGGGCTAATGAAGATGGGAAGAATTAATTCAACTCTGCGTTATCAGGTTCCACCATCACACAGAAGGGGACGTTACTCAGGAATTGGACTCTTCAGATATCTGAAGGGATAAACAACAAATTTGATTGGAGTTTACTGAACAACAATTTGATATTTGACATTGCTAACTGTTGAGCATTTAGTGATTTGAGATATTACTTTTCTATTTAATCTACATCTGTTCAAATAAAAAATCAATGCTATTTTTATACCCTAATTCAATTTCAATATAACTGTAGCCTACAACCTTTTTTTGAGAGGGGAACTGGACTGCAGGGCCCCCCATTTATTTACTTATTAAGTGTGCTAGAGCCCGGATGTGTCAAAATAATCATAGCACATATATATTGCCGAGGTAGATATGTTGGACTTTTGTTGACTTGAAACATTACTGAAAATGATTAAAGGGACAATAACACTCTTGCTGGCTTGAAAGCTCCAGAAAATAAATAATATCTCCTATCTAAGTACTAGATGTTTAAGTGTCCTACCTGTTGTGTAAATTATCCATTACATCCTATTTTACTTGTCCAGAGGGTTCGAAAATATGTTTAAATCGAAGTTTCATTTGAAAAGGTTTACGTTAGACGTTTCAAACCATTATGTTGAATTTTTCAAAATTTTAAAATAAGGTGTGTTAAGATGAAATTTGTATCATCAATTAATTGAAATATTCTAAAATAGTACAATTTGTTGACCAGAATAAAGATTGGGACATATTATTCAGTTACAACAAGAGTGGTATTGAGCCTTTAAATGTCACAAACAGAATCCACATCAAATTCTTTTGTAATTAAAGCATATACGAGCCAGGAGCGGGGTGGCTGTCCCACTGACTTTCGGCCAATGAGACCTTTCAGGCAGATGGGTATAGTGAAAGAAAAAAATAATCCGATGATTTTTACATAATAAAACACCAAATTTACTTTCTTCTAATTGAATAGGGCTAATTTGTACTGAATGACTATGGATAAAAACTAAAAACATTTAGAGTTAGGAGATCCTCCAACCTGTGGAAAAAAATGAGAATTACTTTTTTGTGAGGCATGTACATAGTACTCAAAGAAAAAATCCAGCACAATCCACCTTAGGCAAGTTTTGGTAATCAACCTCAATAAAAATGATTGTAGCATAGTCGGTCGAACATGGAACAATGCTTACCAAATTAGACGTCTAACACCATCCTTGCTACACATACTTTGTTTTGGCCACTAATCGTCTACATTGTAGGTATGACTTCTAATGTTGCAGTTATGAAATCTTGGACTTCACGTTATTGACTTAAGAAGGTGAGTTTACCCCACCACTTTTGTGTATCACCTACAGATATATGATTGCCGCAGCCACTTATTTTCTTAAATATTTTGTGACCGTTCTTTTCTAACAGATGTCTTGAAACTTAGCACACTTATTGCCTCTACAAGGACATCAAATATTGATTTTGGTGCATACCCGATACGTACCAGGGGAAATGAAATGTTGTTTTATGGCACGTCAGCTCCAACCGGGCTATATTGCGCCAAGATACCCAGGGGAAGTGCTGCACTCACTTGTGTCTCGCCTACAGACTACGGTTACGAATGGATCATCTTGGAACTTGGCATTTATTCCTCCTTATAACCAAAGGACAGCGCCTATTGGTTTTGCTTTATTACAGTCAATGCAGCCATTTCATATTTCATTCTCTTCGTTTAAAAACTACCGTCATTCAAAGCAGAAATTTGGACGTTTCATGCAGCGTTAGCATTGCTCTTGTTTTTTCTTATTCTTTGTTCTCATGTTTCCACTAGAGGTAACATATATCAAGATGCAAGAAAATGCAGCACTTTCATAAACAGATGATGATAAATGAGAGATTCACTATGTGAGTCACTTATCGACGCCTAACTACAAGAACTGTAGGTAAAAACATACTGATGAGTTTGTTTTTAGCTACGATTGGGTGCTTTTAGTTCCAAGTGACAAACTCAATTTCTTTATTAATGCATGTAACATCTTAAAAATAAGATAATTTATACTATTATGACTAATTAAACTTACAAAGGCCAATGTAGTGGCACAACCAACGCCTAACTCCAGATATTCGCGCTTAAATTAATGAAGCGACATACACCGTCATACATCTCCCGTTTAAAAATGGCATTCCCAGTAACGGCTTAACGCCTCGATTTTAAACACAATGATTTATACTCGTTTCAGGTAGGATTATATGGTTAATTGTATTTGGATGTGGCAGAAATATTATAAATAACAATAATCAATCGTTGTTTTGATGAAAAATATTGTCAATTTTGCTTACTGAAGCCCGATGTGATTTGTGTTGGGCTTTGCTACGTGGAACTATATAGCACCATCTCTCATCTCGAAACAGGGAGGGTTGAGAGATGAGGTTTGTTATCTAAGTGATGGCCAGAGCTGAACGAAACACATAAATATTAGATTACACCACTTTATAAAATACAAAATAGGATGTTGTGATTTGCTTGGTATTAAATAAAAACAAGAAAACAATATTTTAATCGATAACATGGTTTATATTTGTCTATTCTCATCACATACACTTTTGGCTCTTGAAGATTAATTTTCCATGAGTTTCAATTATAATAAATTTTGCATAATTTACCCCAAACTTAAAACCATATTATTGTTTATTTATTTATAGTAAATGGAATAACAAGCTGGTCCATCAATTCATAATTTTCCAGCAAATAATTATGAGGCCCACATATAAAGACCTGTTTACTCAAATGTGATAGAACGCTGTTCTAAACTTTCCTTTTCAAAAACATTTTGTATATTCCTTACCCCAGTTATCATGGTTTTGGGCCAGATTCAAAAAAATTTCAATTCGAGATACAATATGGGTTATTTGTAAAATAAAGAAAACAATAGAGTTAAAATCATTTTATCTGTTGCATTTTATATTTCAAAGATTATCTAAAATCAGGCATGGCATTTAACATGGTTTTAAAATTGGCTTTCCACATACAAACTGTGATTTAATGATATATTTGAATGACAAACATATCCAAACTAATCTACCCAAAATTTGCGCCAAATCCTCTCTAAACATTATAATTTCATGTAAACTACGAGAATCTAGTTATATCAGCCTTGTTTATCAAATGACTTGATTAAGGCAGAATCAATTTACAGCTTGCATTTGTTGTTAGTCACTGTTCATTTACTATAAGTAACGAAGCCTAAGAAAATTCCTGGATTATCCTCTGCCAACTTGTTTTTCCGCCATTTAATCGCGGTGTCTACTGAAGATTTAATTCTCTCGAAGGTTTCACAACTGTTTGCCATTAGATCAACACATAAGAAGTGCTCCTTATATAACTAGAGAAGATCTGGCCATAATTTATAAAATAAGTTAAAACTAATACATGGACACCTAATAAATAATTCTACTCTCTGATAATAATACTGGTAGTAATAATGGATTTATAAAGTTGCTAACTAAAATAATGGTTGATCATCTCTCTCCAAGCAAGCTTGAAATAATTTTGTTGTCATATTGCAAGAACAATCTATTATTAGTTTTAAAAACCTATAAATTAACAATTATAGTACAATTATAGTATAGTGAAAATAATTTGAGACAGATATAAAAAGAATAAACTAATATAACATTAATCTTGTTCTATCACAGATGAATTATATTCAATAACAAATAACAACTACTTGTAATATCATACCATCAACACATTATTTAAGGATTGCCCACACAGCAGCTATTTCTCCAAAAATAATATGGTCATAGACAGTAGCTTATCTGAAAAGAAAACTTGGATGTTGAGCAAATTTAATAAGGATACCTTATTAAAGAAATCTAATCTCTATCGCTATATCATGTTCACAAGCTTTTATGGATACATAATGTTGAAAATTATCAGGGTTCATCCTCTCATAACACTGATGCTTCACATCACATTTGGAAAAAATCTATTAAAAACTGTAGCCTCTATCGCAATGACGAGCCAATTGTTGACAGACAGACCTGGGTGACGGCATAATGTAAATCTACATTAGAAATATGATCTGTCAAAAACATGTGTCTTATGGTTTTGATTGCTGACAATGCCCATTGATTCAGTAATATTTAATAGCCCTTTTCTGGTTACGACTACTGATAATTAAAGTTAAATTTTACAATACCAGTACATCACATAAAAATAGCTGGCCAGACAACAAAACATACGCCCTCAGCAGTTATCAGAAGTAATTTAAATCTGAATATATACAGTATATTCAAAGTCAATTGAATGATAACTTTAGATTAGAGCATCCAAAACAATTTTCAAATTGATCAACAGCTGTAACTCTGACGGTAATTATTGGAAAATGTTTGAAAATCGATAGGATTCTTCATGTCATGAAGATAGACATGGTGTATCAATTGGAGGTGACAACGATATTCAACTACATTTAAATGTGGGTGTATAAAAACAACAGATTAAATGATAAAGTTAATAATGTATAATATAATAAATTATAACAAATATAATTATAACAAATATAATTTTAACAAAGTATTGTAAAACAATCATAATAATACAAACAGGGGATACATGAGAAATTTAAAGATATAGTTCAACTATTTCTATATTCTAACAATAGACAGTAACTAAAATCTATATGATTTCCATATCTATAATAACATACTCAAGCTCTACCCATAACTAAATTTATAGGAACTCTTAACTCATGTTCCAACTCTACCATTACACATAGGAGCTCTTGTTCAAGCTCTACCCTTAACACATAGGAGTTCTACCCTATGTATATTGAATAGAATCATCCATTGGTCAACATATGCTAATATGTTGAATCAGTAAAATATGTTCATTTGTGTCTCAAAATAATACACAGAAGATATGTTGTCATGGTTTGTTATATGAGAACCACGATTGACCATTTAAAATGAAGTAAAGGATGCTATTGTACGCAGGTGTTGAACATAACCAGTTGATAACATGTCGGAACCTTTTATACACTGTGATAATGAGAAATCACATGGTAAAATCTTCTCTGAAAAACATAAAATAATATAATGAGCTGTTAAATCATTTGACTAAAATAAATATGTGTACAGTGCAGAAATATTCTACATAATGTTTGACAGATTGTCTCTAATCAAAAATGAAGTTAAAGGCAATAAAAGTGTGTAGATGTTAAGATATGTTTATATAATAAACTGTATCCTTGGTAGAAACTCTTTAACGATGTGAGGAAACCACTAATCAAGGAGCAGGAGATCCTTTTTGTCAGATCAAATCCACAACTTTCATAGATGACTGATGTGAATCATTCATGTTATTAAAGTAGTATCATGGGATAGTTAATAGTTCTATCTATAATAGTTAAAAAATAAATAACCTAAATAGAATATGCTGAAAATTTCAGTAAAATTGCTCCACTGTGAACCGAGATATTAGCTTTTGAATTTTAGGCTAGTCTTGATCATCATTATTAAAGTCGGTACGATAAAAAAACAAAGTCTCAATTATCCATTTTTACGTTTAATTACCTTTTAAAAAAGGTATTCCAATTCGCTAACTATCGCAAGCTAGCGATGGCAACAAGAGTTGATTATGGTCTGGATAAGCTAATTAATGTCTAATTAATAATTTAGATAACATTTCATGCCTAAAGAAAGACCTGCAATAGGCAGATTGGCTCTTGCTTAATATGTATGTTTAAGGAAGTTGTTGAAACTAAACTTACCATTTTCAATCCATTTATCTTGTGCTATAAAGGTTAGAGCAGGTACACAATATTGAGCTAAACAATCGTCAGGTTTATCACTGGTCATCCAGACTGGTACCACAATATGTTCATAATGCTATAATATACAACACAATATGTTCATAATGCTATAATATATAATACAAAATGTTCATAATGCTATAATTACACAATATGTTCATACAATTTTTCGTACAATCAGGGGCCATAATCTAAGAAGTTATGGTCTGAAATGCACGAATATCAAATATTTGCGTACAAGGAGTGGCCATTTTGTCTGGCAGTTTCGGTCAGATTTTTACGAAATTCGAAATCAACCTTCATTGATGTGTAACAGTTATATATTTAAACGGTTTTTAAAACTGAATACAAATTGTGACTTCTAACGGGGCCCACAAGGTAAAAATGCAATTTTTCGAACAATCAGGGGCCATAATCCAGGCAGTTACATTTGAATATGCACGATTGTTGAAAGGAACCAAGGTCTTTGTGATTTAAACATAAATTTAACGTTTCATCAAAATTGGATCAAAATTGTGGCCTCTAGATGGCTATATGATATAGCATATTTTTTACACTATTTGCGTACGAGGGGCGGCCAGTTTGTGCAGCAGTTTTACCTATTTTCATGTAATTCAAACTCAAACGTCATTAGGGTGTAACGGTGATATATTCAAACGTTTTTTTAAATTGGATAAAAATTGTGACCTCTAGAGGAACCACAATCTAAAAAACGTGATTTTTCGTACAATCAAGGGCCATAATTTAGGAAGTTAAAATCTGATATGCACAAAAATACAAAAGAACCAAGACCTTTGGGTTTATTAACATGAATGTCGATTTTCATCAAAATCAGATAAAAATTGTGACCTCTAGAATGTCCACAAGCTAAAAACGTGATTTTTCGCACAATCAGGGGCCATAATCCATGAAGTTTCGATTCAATACATGCCAATATCGAAAAGAATTGAGATAAACCTATATTTCAAGTTTCGTCAAAATCGGATAAGAATTGTGACCTGTAGAGTGTCCACAAACAAATGTGGGCGAATAAAAACTAATATCAACGATTCTATGTTGGGGGGTTGGCAGCGGGAGTTGATATCGGAAATGTTTCCATAACCTGAAACCCAAATTATTATTTCTGGTTGACAATGACAGGTAGCGTCCAATTGTTAATTGTTCAAATTTCCGTCAGGCTCCCGTTTCTCACTTGCTTAACAATAAGAATCACAAACTGGTGTCATCGGGCCCGGACTCGCCTGTGTTCCAATGTTCCAACGGCACATGGGTCCCCCTAGCAGTGGGCCCCCCTTTCCACTGGCCCTCTCTCTGCAATAGTTTTTCTGGGTGAAATAAACTTTGGCATCAGCTGGTGCCTGTTGAGGGTAAAAAAAATTGGGGGCCCTTTAGACCAGTTTGACTATGAATTTTTAGGAGCTATTTACAGACCACTATTCGGAAATATGATCTGCAACAACTTCATGCAGATAACTAATCTAGAAGGACACTAACTGCTTAGAACTAAGTATATGACTTCCCACCTGGGATATACTCCAAGAGTCCACAGGACACCATTTCTCGAGGGAGGACCCCCTCTCTTAAAAAGCCTGATTAAATTAAAGATCCTTTTTGAAAGGGTGGTAACACAACAGTTACTTTCAACACATAAATTTGAGCTTCACTCATATTGAAAGATCTGGTACTAGTATTGATGACGTCACTAACATATTGTTTTACCCTTTCATTACTGGTCACTATGGTCGCTATAATTCACTTTTGGTCATTGTGATCTCCTGTTGACTCTTGATAATATACATAAACAGATGGACGACTTTTAAATTAAGAATCATGGTGGCTGTGACGATTGAAAAAATACTGAATGCAATAAACCTACCTCTGGATACCCGACACAACTATCTAATAAATGTAGTTCATTATTGCTCAATTGATAAACACATCCCTCCACACAACCAAACGGGTTAAACTCTATATTAGGAAAACCAAAACCTTCTTCATCAGCACCTTAAATACATTAATGAATGAATGACTGAAATTGGGTTTAACATTCAACACCAACCGGGCTAATGAAGACGGCTAAGTACTTTGATAATTATTATATCTTAGAAATTCAACATTTACAATATCGTAGTTTGCAAGGAGTTCCTATATCTCTCATATCAAACTCAGGGTCTTTAATGAATAATGAAATAATTCAAATTACCCTTTTTATTGAATAACAGATTGAATCCAAATAATATTCCCCATCTTTTCTTCTCCACGTTTCTTCTGATATACATACCTAATCTGTACAAATATACATATATCAATCATAATATACTATTTTACATAAATTACCGATGGCAAATATGCTATAAAGTTAGCTAAGAAAATTGCTGCATAAAATGGCTGGAAATTTATGTTAACTTTAAATGGCTACAGCTTCCCTAAAGATTGATTGTTTTGAATAATTTCTGGAACAATACGCCTTTTTTAATAAGATACTTTTATTGTGTTTGGTCTAAAAGTCTGTTTTCTCTGTAATTCTGGTTCTAAATAGACAATACAGAACAAATATATAACAAACCATAAGCAGAAGGGAGATATAAAACTGAAATGGCAGTCATGGTGGAGTGGATGTTACTTCATAATGTTACCAAGGTGATTCAGAAACAAGATGACTTGGCGATATTTATAAAGTGCATAAACACAACACTTCTAAAATTTCTAATGCACTCATACTGGTTCCATAGCTATCACTAATTATTTTTCACATGGGATCCCGGAACAGAAATGTTTAGTGGGGATTTATAGATTTTGAAAGTCTTAATTCTAGGGGTAGTTGATTCCAAAAATATGGTGCACCATACAAAAAAGTTCTAGAACTCATCACCAGATGAACATTTGGTATTTTGAGGAATTTATTGAGTAAATTACCCAGGAAGTTACTGTCCATCTGCGATCTTTGGATATATAAAGAGATATTTTAAGTTTCATTAAAATTGGATAAAAATTGTGACATCGAAAGTGTCCACTAACAAATTTGTGCATGGATAATGCCTTGCAGTATGTACATCGACATTTTGCAAGAGATGGATGGAGAACAGGGAAAAGTGAGAGGTTGCAGAGCGCTGAAAATTGATAAGGTTTGCCCTCTCATGAACCTAATACTCCACATCAAATTTGAAATACAGTAAACTTTGCATAAAGTGGACTGAACAATTTTATTCCAGTTAAGCGAAGATCTGAGTTAGCCGAAGACTGAAATTCAGTCTTTTAGCTCATTTAGAAATAAACTGCAAGAGCCGGATAATAATTGATTCAAAGGCACATTTCAAGCTTTTTGTCGCCATCTTTGAAAAATGTCATAAATTTTCCCGGAAAGTGTCTCTACAGCAGGAAAATTCTATTATTATGTCGTGTCAAATAGGCTGATTTGAGTCAAAATGATAAGAGAAAAGTATTTTGGGGCTCTGTGCATGGAATACCTAACCAAGTTTTAGACCATTGGGATGAAACTGACAGTGAAATTCTGAACATACTGCCGATCCGACTTAGGTGAAAGAAAAATTCAGGAATTAGATCAAATTGACCAAACATTTTGATCCGAGTTGAGCAAAGATCCGACTTACGCGCAGAAATTTAATAAGAAAAAAGTGCAGGATCAAAGGGTCCGAACGCTTTTATACGAGTTGAGCGAAGATCTGACTGATGCGAGGTTTACTGTAAATTTTTTACAAATTGTTTGTCTGTATCCTGTTAACAAGCAAATTGTGGTCATAAATGAGGGACTGTTCCTTTAAATTTAAACTTACCTGTCTTTATTCATGTCGGTACCATATGTAAAATAATAAACATAACCAGGTGGTGGACGTGCATTTATACTAAAACATAAAGGTGGGAATGGAGCCTCGTCTTCATCTTCAATCAGACTGAAATTGAAATTATGATTTATTTTATAATCAATGTTTTGGCTGTGATATCAAACATTATTATAGGCGACAGTATAAATTTGTTTTGTCACACTGGGTTGTCAAATATAAACAACTGGCAAGCACAAAATCAAGCAAATATAAAGAAATTATTTTCAAAGTTTCTTTCGTAATCTGCAAATGTTATAATCCTATAGACAGTTTGTTTTTATTTCATGTGGCAGATTATTCTGTACTTGGTGTCAAAGTGCTATGAACCATGTGGAGCATTTCAAGCCCTTTCTAAATGAAATTTTTTTGACAGCATAATGATGTCATCTTGGATAGGTATGAGTTAATGAAGTCTTAGTAGTAACTTTTTATTTTCTGTTAATTAAAATCCTAAACAATTTTTAAAATTATTAACAAGAATAATAAAGGTGTTTGAAGTGGATCAGTTTGTTTTATGTCTGTATTCTTCTGAAAAGGTATTTTTACCACCTAATCTAAATGACCTGCTTGTACTTTTTCTAAAACAATTCAAACATACAACAGAAGTGATCTTGCATTGTATGTAACATTATTATTATTATTATTGCACACCACTTTCACGAGTAAATGATCATGTGTGCTTTACAAAATATGGAAGAAAGAGAATTAATTAAATAAACATTGAAATCAACTTAAAATCATATAAATTTCATTTGGATGTGACATCACCTTTAAAGTCATGTCAGCTTATATGGCGGTAAAAGAAGGCTTTCACATTATCCGCTTTGTAACAGTTTGGTTTAGCTCATTTAACTACTTTAACTAAATCAGTATAGAAAGAGACAGAGAAATGGCGTTTAACGTCCATTTGACAAAAACTAGGTAATTTCTGGACTAACATGATTCAATGTTCAATAATTCGCTTTGCGTATTCGGCTTTAGCAGTGGGAGGAAACAGGAGGACCCAGAGAAAACACATTAAATCATTTGGCCAACCAACCTGCCATTAAGTAGGGTGGCCCATGTACTCACAGAAATACAGTCCACCGCTGATAGTTCGAGACTACCACTGAAGCGTGCACATTCGCCGTGCCGAGACCAACTTTCTGACAGTATGATACTATAAATAGCCATGGCACGTGCAATTCTCTACAAATCTATCAACTATTACAGCCGTAAAAAATTTATTGTTGACGATTTTGGATAGCAGTTAAATTAAGCTTCTTGGTTATTACAGCAGATTTAGAAATTACGTTCGTTTCATTTTTTAAATCGCTTTATCATTAACTGTACCGTTAAGAGCGGCATCTTTTGGTTTAGTACAAATAATATATCTGAATCACTCGGGTTAGGCAGGAACATGATACTAGCAGTAGTTTCATTTTACTTTTACAAGCTTCTTAAAACGATTGTTGAGCTACCTAACGTGCTTATTTCTAAATTCAATTTCTTGTTCTAGCTTTCTGTTACGTTTCGTAAAAAAGTAGTCTTGATTATCCCGACCTGTCAATCAGACGTAGAATGATCGATAGACTGGTTAAGCGAGACTAATTTCAAAACAAGGGCACGTAACCTATCTTTTACTCAAAAGTGTCTGGATGTTATGGACGACTCTTGGAACCAGTTTTCAGTCTATTATTTATACATGATTAATGGTCATAGCTTATTAAGTACAACATGATCGTTTATTTAGTGACTATAATTGTGTGAAACTGATTTGAGGCTTGGCATATATATAAATATTGTGGCGTAATTGTCGAGATATATGGAGATATTTATTTATGGTGGGTCACCCTACATTAAGTCAGTACAGGGTGTGTATTTATTATTTCCAGTAAATAAAGTAGACAGACCTGCCTGTTGGTGGGAAAATAGTCTTCCTCGTAGCTATAACTTTCAAACCTCCATTTATACTTGTAGTCTCACTAAAATATATAAAAATACTGTCTGGTAATACTGACAAACAAGTTTCAAAACTACAAAAAAGTTAAAATCATTTTACACATATATTGACAATATAATTAAGACATGATCCCACATCTGTCCAGTCTTAAACAATTTATTTTTCTCCATGTTCAGGGAAAGGATTAATTTTAAAATCTCATCCAGGTTATCTTCAAAATGTGATTTTGTATCAGTTTTCTTAAATTAAAACTAAAGTAAAAAGTTGGTTATTTAGTCACTATCATTAACAATCCAAAGTAAGTACTTTTCTATTACCGATATATTTCATTTGAATTCATTGCAGGAAAAATTGGAAACAGTAAAACAATTTAAAAATAGTTGGTGTAACTGGCATTCTATACACCCTACAGATCTGAAATGTGATGTCTATGAGTCATTTAGCAACATGATCGTTTGACAAAATAAAACCCCAAAAATAAAAACGTCCCTGAATATTATATAGTAAAATGTTGGATTTACATGTACACTTGAAACTGGAGAATCACTAGCCAAGGAATGAGGGTTAAAGAGACATGGGGTTTAACAACCACTTGACAAAAACTAGGTCATTTCAGGACTAACACATGGTAGAACTTCATTTCAATGGGAGAAACCAGACAACCTAGAGAAAACACACAAGGTTGGGCATGCCCTCTCTCTCCTTGTCATGTACAAGCTTGGGTTCAAAGCATGACACTTGCAACAATGACAGACTTTATGATCTAAAGCACAAATGTAAGAAAACTTGACCACCCATTCAGGGTTATGGAGTAACAGATGGCATTAGCAGACATTTTACACCAAATGAATTAAATTATCTTTTCGTTTATGACTTACCTTAAAGCATCATCATTTTGTTTTGTTTTCTGTAATAAAAAACAAGATATATTAAAAAAGTTTTAGATATGTTAGTGATCTTGTACTCTAAATATAAAACTGTGCTCCTTGCTTTGACAGTCTGTCATATATAATTCAACCAATTTTCAATACCAAAATCAACTTTTAACTAATGCAATTGTGTCATGCAAGTTTATTTTTATTTCAGGAAGAGACAAAAAAGAGAACTGTAAATAATGCTTACTTACCATTCTTTCTTCTTTACCAACTTCTGGTAAAAAATCACAGACATATTGTAAAAAACATCCGGATGCCAAATTATTCAACTCTAGTTTTAGACCTGGATCGCAGACTGCTTCCAATGCATATTTTAGCTTCTTGTGGACATCAGAACGCGAGCTATAGATTCTGTTCAGACATTCGATTGGTGAAGCTACAACATCTGTCAATAACACACGATTTTTGCATGTGACAATACGTTTACTTAAAACCAGACCAGGATTACCAGAATCACAACATTTTTTCCGATAAAAATCCAAGAGGGACTGATAATCTGGCATTATCTGTTTATCCCCTTCGTCTTCTGTTTCCAAATTTGAGGAACTTTCACTTTCATTTGTGTCATCTTCTAAATCCTCTTCATCAATTTCTTTAACAAAAGCAACCTTCTTTTTTTTCTTCTCATCTATTTCGATCTGTTGGCGTATATCATGTTGAATGGCTCGTAATTGAAGATCAAGAGCATCAAAAGTGCTGCCTCCAACAAATGGAGAATTAGGAGCATCAATATCAACTGTTTCATATTCATCCTCCTCCTCAAAATTAAGTTTCAGAATGCCATCTGGGATTCTATTTGATCTAATTTCGTTTTTACTTTTAACCTTCATTTCAGTTTCCAATTTTTTAGCTTCCTCTTTCGTAGTATTTGTCCATTCGCCGTTTTTCAATAAATCTGTTTCACTTTTGGTTTTACATCGACAATACGATTTTTGGTGTTTACACATAGCACAATACTCTCCAAATAATTTCTTTCTGAAATCTGGACTGGCCGATGTTGGACGTTTTGGTAATGGACGAGTTGTTGATTTACGGACGGTACTTGCAGAGTATGGTCTGCGACCACGTTTGATGTTATGTTGATATTTGTCATAAATTCTGTGACAGGACGTTGCCTCAACTGGTGGGATATTTTTGTTGAAATGGGGGTCGACCATATAAACAGGAGAATCCGGACATGTTATATCGCAAATATCCTCGATAAACTCTGCTTCTTCAATCGGCAAATAAAATAAACTTTTGTTTTCGTAAAGATGTGCATTCAGATTTGAAACATCACTAATAGGATCAAAGAACGGGGCTGCTTCAAGTGAGTCAATCTGCATCCGATTTACTATGGCTTTATTAGGACTTTGATAACCATTATTTCTGGAATGTTTTTTTATTGTTTGGGTATTTGCTGATAATGAACGTAATTTATTTTGTAATTCAACTTTATTAGGAGAGGCAAGAGAAACTGTGACTGAATTTTTCTTTGATTCCGACATAGGGAGGTTGAGACAACTGCTGGAGCAGACATTTTTTCTATTCTCAATATCGGTTTTAGAACTGGAATTGTTTGTATCTTTAATAAATGGTTCAATTTCATCCTGTTTACCATGAGAATTCTTACTGTAACTGCTGGTAAAATCGCTAAACATTCCGCTAGAATTACTTGATGGAGTTCTTGGTAGATCAGCCTCATCAATGATGAAGGCTGAAATATCACCGTGGTAATGAAAGCTGCCTGAATCTGATATAAAACTCATATTCAAATCACTAGTTTCACTTTTTATGTCAGAAATGACTGACGCATTTTCTTTACCTAATGGATCATCTTCTTTACCTGATGGATTGTCTTCGATTGTAGCGACTGGACTTTCAATGTCATTATCATCTGTTTGACCTTGACCATTACTGGATGTTAACCGTCTTTTCTCTGCATTCTTGGTACTAGAACTTTTTGATGGCTGCTCAGCAGCTTGTCTAATTGCTTTGTTTTCTTTATCTTCATCACTGCATCCACCACCACCATCATCATCATCATCATTCTGGTATTTTCTTTCTGTCGTTGGTTTGCATGATGATTTTGACACAACCTTGTCATCTTCATTTTCTATATCAGGATATATATCATCTTGATCACTGTGTTTACTGATGCCAAATATGGATGAATGTGGTGATGGTGGTTCAAGATCCTTTTTTTCTGGTTCGACATGACAAATATTCAATGTTAAATGATTTCTAAAACTTGATGACTCTTCCTCCTGCCAAACGTCACTTTGGATTACAAAATTATCAATCAATTCGTCTGCAAATCGCACAGTTTTAGCTGGACTCACTTTCCCCATTTTTAACATACTGGCACTTTTAGGTCTTGATGGCACGGCTTCTTGGAAATTCTCTTGACGTATCACAGCACTAAATGGACGGCCCGATATTACTGGGGTTACACGCACAGGTTTGGTTGGTTTGCTTGCTGTATGTTTACAAGACGAAGATTTTGCATAGGGAAGTGGTTCATGATTTGATCTAATTTCACCAGATCGGCTTTTGTCTAATTTATGAAACTGATTTTGAGCAATTTTATCTTTTTTGAGATCTTGGGACTTTACATTGACTGAACTTTGAGTAGAATCAATCTGAATGTTTTGAGAGATCACATGGCTATATTTTTTATCCACTTTAGTGGCATTAAAGTCTGTTTTATTTACTTTACGGACAACGTCGATGGCATCAATATCGGCACTGCTCCATAACATGGCATCACTAGAATTTGTTGTAGCTAATATTTTACCAATATTGTTACCAATATTACTACTATTCTTATCACCAACGAATGTCTCTAACTCCTCAGACATTCGAAGATTTTCTGACAAACGACGTTCCAAGGATGGTGAGAAGGAAACATGGGCGGTTTTATTTATAGTTATATTATCTTCATCAGACAGCACTTGCTTTGCTGCTTTTGGTAACTGTTCAAATTCATTCTCATCTTCTGAAAATAAAATATTGGTACATACAAAAACATAAAACATAGCCAACATCTGAATTAAAAGATCAATGGGGTGGGGTTTAATGTCTCAACAACACATACTTTTGTCATTTTGTAACAAACATATGGTATTTGTTTTATATAAAATCTATTGATACATGGACAATGCTAGAAAGGAGAATTTTGCCGGGAAAACAACAGTTTGCCTCTTCTTATATATGTTACAGTCAACCTGTGTAATCGGTCATTTCACATAATGACTAAACAAATCAGTCATTTCGCAAAGAGCCTGTGAGCACCAGGCAATACGTGTAATGACTGGAAATTCCAGACATTACACAAAATGACTAAAATTCCTACCTTCTTTTTACACTTAATGCCTGATTGCAGATTTTGCAAATCAGGCAATATGTGTAGGCCTAACACATAAAAGGACAATGTTGTCATTGTCTGATGGACACATCTGTTCATTTTAAAGGTTATAGAGGTCACAATTATTATCCGATTAAAAAAACCGTTTGGATATATCACCGTTACACTGTAATTTTGTCTGAGTTTGAATTTCATGAAAATTGGACCAAAAATGGCCGCCCCTCGTTTTTAGCTTGTATATCCTCTAGAGGTCAGAATTTTGTGAGAATCGGGCCAAAACTGCGAGAGAGAGAGAGAGAGAGAGAGAGAGAGAATGGGGTTTAACGTCCACTCGACACAAACTAGGTCCTTTCGGGACTGACATATGGTTCAATTTTATTTTAATAATTCGCTAGCGCGTAGGGGTCTTTAGCAGTGGGAGGAAACCGGAGGACCTGAAGAAAACCCACGATGAAACATGTAATACATGTTTATAACCCAAAGATATTGGTTACTTTTGATATTCGCGCATATCGGATCGTAACTTCCTGAATTATGGCCCTTGATTGAACCAAAAATCACGTTTTTAGCTTGTGGCCCCTGTAGAGGTCACAATTTTTATCCGATTTAAAAAAAAACGTGTGAATATATCACCATTAGACACTAAGATCTTGATTCCTTTTAAAAATCGCGGATACCGAACTTCACTTTTTGGATTATGGCCCCTGATTACCGGTATTCGAAAAAAATCGCATTTTTAGCTTGCGGATTCTCTAGAGGTCACAATTTTTTCCGATTTTAAAAACCATTTAAATACATCACCATCCAACAATAAAGAAGGCTAAATTCGAATTTCGGGAAAAGTGAGATGAAACTGCCCGACAAAATGTCCGCTCTTTGTAGAAGTGTAGAAGTGTGTAATACATATTAAAACATATCTTTATATCCCAAAGATCTCGGTCCCTTTCGATATTTGCACATTTCAGGCCATAACTTTCTGGATTATTGCCCCCCGATTGTACAAAAAATCGCGTTTGTTTTTGGCTTGTTCTCTATCCATCCTTTGGAAAATGTGGGTGTATCCTGCCTGGCAGCCGCTGGTTATCCGATTTTGAAAGTTATGGTCTGAAATTTTTAAATATCAAAAGAACTGAGATCCGTGTGATTTAAAGATATGTTTTAAGTTTCATCAAAATCGGATAAAAAGTCAGGTGTTAATGAACAGGTGTTTTCACAACCCAGTGGCTCTGTTTCATCCACGAATAGTCATACTTGTTTTAATTGAGTTTCTAATCTGTGGCTTCCCTTAAATGACTGTCCCCAAGCGGTTTCACACAAGAGACTTCTTCTTAAGCCCCTTGCACATGACAATAAAGATTGTCTACGATATCACCCCCGGTGGAAGTGGACGTTAAACTCCAGAGACGAACACACGAACGACAATAAAGGTATCACTTCGATGGAAGCTGACCTCCACAAACAACCACACAAACTACCAGTCAGGATTTTGCACCTCCAGCTAGCCAAGTTGATCCGCCGGTTGCTCAAAACTAAGTTATTTTAATGGTCCGTTAAACTCTAACGGATCGTTATCTTGCTAACGTGTCATTTGTTAACGATCCGTTAAATTTCATTATCCGTTAGCTAACGAATTGATTTAAGTTAATCCAAGAGAAGACTGTTTGTTCATGGCTGAATTTTAATGATTCAAATTCAATGTACATGTATAACAACTTCATAGAAGTTAGTATTTACAAGAAACTGAAGACAGTGAGACAACTAACTGTGCAGTCTGTTCACAAAACTTGATTAAAGACAAACATACAACTATAGAATTTACTACAGAAAACACTATAGCTTAAATCTGTAGGAAAAATTATGAGATTTGCACTACAGAATATTTCTGGTCATTATTTCCTACAGACCCCCAAAATTAAGTAGAACACTATAGAATTTCATCCTATAGAAATTGGAATAGCTTCCCCAACACCCAACCCTCTAGAATAGAAACTTACACTGGTTATCTATGATGCAGTTTTCAAGGGACGAATAGATGCAAATGTTTCAAAAACAATATCAAAATCAGAATGCTTCAACCGCTGTCATAGCAGTATGTTATTGCAAAAACATGTGACTTTAGAGATGAACTAGTCAGAATTTTTGAAATAAAATGAGATTTGACAACTATATGCATATTTTTCTGCAATGTATGATTTAACGTTTGATTTGACGTCAAAAAATGGTTTACAGTGTATTTTTATAGGTTTAACAGCACTTCAGTCATTTCGCGTAATCCCCGACCATGATTTTTAGTCATTTCGTGTATTGACTGGAATTTTTAGTCATTGCACGTATTGCCTGATGCTCACAGGCATTTCACGTAATGACTGATTCGTTTAGTCATTACATGAAATGACTGATTACACAAATTGACTGTAACATATACACTGATGTAACACAATTTTTTATCTCATAAAAGATAATAATAAGTATAATGATTCTTAGTTGACTGGGAAAAAATTACCTCCCCTGGTAGGGAATTTTAAAAAATTTCTCAACTGACAATAGTGAATTATAGGATTAATTGGAGTATTCTTTAACAAGACATGATTGTGTATAGATTCTACGTGTTTCATGCTTTATTTTAACATATTTTAAACATATGAGTAAGAAAGTACAACTATCGCTTATAACCTTAGTCCAGTGACTTGACATCTCGACTATCACAGCTCCAACTGAATTCATCATTATTCTGAGCCTATATAACTTATCTTACCTGCTTGATGTAAAGGTTGCGATATAACAGATGTTGTTGAACTTTTTTCAGATGGAAAAGTTGTTAATTCACTGTAGACTAATAAACCTCTTTCATATCTACAAATATAAATATCATTTTAACGAGCGCATCTAATTTTTACTTCAGGTTTTTACATAGTCTACTAGTCTATAAAGATATAGGTGCCATATATAGTGGCTGAGTGAGTTAGGCGCTATAGGTCCTGGGTTTGATCCCAAGAAAGTTCCTTGGGGTTTTCCAGTGTAGTTCTCTATGCCAGATATACAGGATGGAAAGTCTAGCCAGGAACAGCGTCTCATTATTTGTATGGTATGAAAATATAAGGGCCAGTGTACACGTTGATAGTTGGAATTTGATAAGTAGGCGCAATTACTAATGGTATACTTTCGACCAGCTATGTGCAGTAAATCCAAACACTACACAAAAGATACAATATTTTCTGTGTTATGATAAAGTGAGAACTTAAAAAGAAATCAGAAATAAAAGGAAATGAATAATGGTTTGATGATCAAAAACAACAATCAGAATGAACTAATATCATAATATGACAAATTAGGTCGATGGGGAGTGCAGATCCTTTTATTTTTATCATATTCATAGCAGGTTAACATTTACAAATTCTGCCAAAAAAGGTGGTAGATTCTAATAATATAAACCAGCGGTTGCCAGGCAAGATATGCCCACATTTTGCAAGAGATAGATTGAGAACAAGCTAAAATACAAAAAAAACAAAAAAACAGCCATTTTTTGTACAATCAGGGACCATAATCCAGGAAGTTATGTCTGAAATGCGCGAATATGAAAGTGGACTCAGATACATTTTAGGTTTCATTGGAAATGCGTGATTATCGAAAGGAACCAAGATCTTTGTGATATAAACATAAATTTAAAGTTTCATCAAAATCAGATCAAAATTGTGGCTTCTAGAGAATCCACAACCTTGACATATTTGCGTACCATTTTGTCTGGCAGTTTTGGTCCGATTTTCACGAAAATCGAGAGAGAGAGAGAGAGAGAGAGAAATGGGGTTTAACGTCCACTCAACACAAACTAGGTAATTTCGGGACTAACATATGGTTTAATTTTATTTCAATAATTCGCTTGCGCGTAACGAAAATCGAATTCAACCTTCATTAGGGTGTAACGGTGACATATTCAAACCTTTTTTTTAAAAAATTGGTCTCAAATTGGGACCACAAGCTAAAAACGTGATATTTCGTAAAATTGGGGGCTATAATTCAGGAAGTTACGGTCCGATATGCGCAAATATCGTAAGGAACAAGATCTTTGGGTTATAAACATATATTTCAAGTTTCATGAAAATCAGATCAAAATTGTGATTTCTAGAGTGTCCACGAGCTAAAAACGTGATTTTTCATACAATCAGGGGCCATAATCTAAGAAATTAAGATCCAATACATGCCAATATCAAAAGGAACCGAGATCTTTGGGAGATAAACCTATATTTTAAGTTTTGTCAAAATCAGATAAAAATCGTAGCGTGTTCACAAACAAATTGTGGAGAGACGGATGGACGGACGGACAGGGGAGATGACAATATACCACATAAAAATGTGGGCGTATAAAAATTGATAATCTAGAATTCAGATAGTCTGGACAATTTTTATGGAAGCCTAAATGTAGATTGAAGTCAAATTGTGACATAAACTTGCTTACAAATCTTCCTCTTCCTCCTGGTCATCACTGTCTAAATCACTGATCATACGATCCACGTTTCCGTCCATACTCGAGGCTTCTGACGTCTGATGTACTGACTCCACTGTAACAGGACGATCAATAAGCATAGTAATATTACCCTGATTATAATTGGATAGTATCTGACGACGTCTTTGTAAAGTTCGACTTGGACTAGATGAATAGGTTGTGGCATCTGAAAGTACAAGGGTCTGGTTTTGATCATCCTTTACTGTCCTGGAGGATTGGCAGTGAAATTGGCTGATTGGAGAACTTAATTGTAGAAAGATAAATGGATGTCAACAGTTTATGATTTTGCAGTATGGGTAAATTCTTCTGAATTTTGCGTTACTTGTCATAATTTTAACATATTTATGAGCATATTTATAAGATGTGAAGACCATCCATTATCTACTACATGCTCTTTATATATGTAACTATATCAAATCGTAAAAATCTCTAATTTATTTGACCAAATCGGCACAACTTTTTGACAAAGTATGTCACAAAATATTTTGACGGTATATATTTAGTAACTAGTTTATCCACTATTTCCATGCACTAAAATTAGGAAACAATTCTATTGAATACAATTACTGTTTTTTCAAACATGATTCAATTGTAAATTAAAGCAGTGGCTGTCAGGTAAGATACGCCCACATTTTGCAAGAGATGGATAGAGAACAAGCTAAAAAACAAAAAAAACCAAAAACAGCAATTTTTTGTACAATCAGGGGCCATAATCCAGGAAGTTATTTCTGAAATGCGCGAATATCAAAATGGACTCAGATATATTTTAGGTTTCATTGGATATGCGTGATTATCGAAAGGAACCAAGATCTTTGTGATATAAACATAATCCATAATCCACGAAGTTCCAGTCTAAAATGCGCAAATATCAAAAGAGACTATGAGATCTTTGGGATATAAAGATATATTTTAAGTTTTATCAAAATCGGAATAAAATTGTGGCCTCACAAGGGTCCACAACATTGATATACCATATTTTTACACTATTTGCATACAAGGGGCTGCCATTTTGTCTGGCAGTTTTGGTCTGATTTTCACAAAATTCAAACTCAACCGTCATTAGGGTGTAACGGTGTTATATTCCAACGTTTTTTTAAATCTGATAATAATTGTGACCTCTAGAGGGACCACAAGTTAAAAACGTGATTTTTTGTACAATCAGGGGCCAGAAATCAGGAAGTTAAGATCCAATATGCACAAATATCGAAAGGAACCAAGATCTTTGGGTTATAAACATGAATTTCAAGTTTCATCAAAATTGGATCAAAATTGTGATCTCTAGAGGGTCCACAACCTTGATATACCATATTTTTACACTATCTGCGCATGAGGGGCGGCCATTTTGTCCAGTATTGGTCCGATTTTCACGAAATTCACATGTCACCGACCTTACGGTGTAATGGTGATATATTCGAACGTTTCTTAAAATCGGATAATAATTGTGCCCTCTAGAGAATCCACAAGCTAAAAAACGTGATTTTTCGTACAATCAAGGGCCATAATTTAGGAAGTTAAAATCTGATTGTACAATCAGGGGCCACAATTCAGGAAGCTACAATCCAATATGCGCGAATATGGTACACTCTATAATGTTTCAGTTTGGTGTAAAATTAATATCTACCCAGTACCTGAAATCACACCTCTACAATCTTTCATTGATGGTCCTCCTGTATTTACTGGATACATTGGCTTTAACCTATAAAAATATATAGAAATTTATTTATTGTCAGGTACAAAAACTGCACCACTTTCTAGGCCAACACTGGGATTGAACTCCAGACCTCCTGTTTAGTGATCAATCACCTTAAAGGGGAAGACCAACGATTTTCAACAAGGTTTTATATATATCCTAAATGTATATTCAGAAATAATTCCCTCTGTAACACAAGCAAACAATTTTAGTAAGCGAGAAATAAACTTTTATTAAAACTGGAAGTGATGTAATTGGTTTAACACACTCGCTGGTCTCTATAGTAAGCATACAGAATTAGCGTATTTTTATCGCTCTATTATGTTCACACATCGTCGTTTGGATGAAAATCTGATCAATACACAAGTCTGACGTGTAAATTCACTCATACTGAACAGTAGGCTGTGATCCAATTCACGCCACATGACTAATTGTTTACATCACATGGTTTATTTGACACCAGGCAGGTGACAGATATTTCCTCTGCTTGAATGTTTTTGTACATTCTGACAGTGTTTTTGTATATTTCAACTGACTTGTGGCACATATATATTCCACTAAATTAAATATATAAATTTCCAATTTATGTCAATGTTAGACACCAACGTATCGGAATTAAAGATATCTATTCTATGAGTCTACAGTAATGCCATATACAGATACAAGCCTAGCCATTTTCAAGAGGAAATGTCTTTCACGTCGCCATTTTGGGCCAAAATGAACTATATTAATATTAAATGTTTTACATGCCAATAATTTTGGTCTGTTTATTGTGTCACTAGCAAGCTATCAAAGAAGCCATGTGATCTAAACAATTAGCGTGAATATGTTTATAATATCCTAATGAACAGCCCCATTGATCAGATTTTAGGTCATACGACGACGCGTGAACAAAATATAGCAGTAACCTTATGCCAAATCTGTATGCTTACTATAGAGATCAGCGTGCATGTTGAACCAATTACATCACTTCTGGTTTTAATAAAAATTAATTTCTGAATATATATTTAACTTTTAAGATTTATGGAAACTGCTGGTCTTTCCCTTAATTAATCACTGAGCCATCATGACTACCCTGTATGTTAGTCTAAAAATGACCAAAGTTCTATATATTGTTTTAACAAGACGCTAAAATTCATTCTATTCCAGTCATATCCATAAAAGACAGATCCCCAAAAATTAGATGTTTTTTTCATTTCAGTTTTAATTTTGGTTTTTCTATAACCTGACTACTTGTTTATCTATTGTCTGTTTTCTTTAAAGCCTAATTTTAACCACTATGATTGGTTTGAATTATTCTTGCCCACGCTCAAACCATTGGTTCATTGGCTAATGGTTAGTTAGTATATAATATTGGATTATTTTGTATAAATGTAAACAATGTCAAAAACGACAAACAAAAATATGGTCTGATTTTAAAATACTGGAATATATTTATAGTACAAATTTTGTACATACTTTCCCTTTAGTAATTTTCCTTTAACTTTGATTGGTTCCTGATGTCTCTGTTTTAACAGAATAGAATTAATATGAGATGTTGCTATCTTTAAATTTGCTTTCATCAACTTTGATGGACTTGACATCTGATCCTAAAATATTGAAATTAAAATACATTTATAATTTCCAACCTAATATTCTTTACAATGAAAGTTTTGATTAAGACTAAAATCATTAATCATTATGTACTTTTCTTAATGGAGGCTGTCTTTCTTATGTGGTTAGAGTCGTCTTTTCTAACAGGATATGAATTGCGATGCAATTGCAATGTGAAGTCTGGAAAAATACTTTTATCAACCCAACAGATAAAAATCTTAAAGGCTTAAGGAGTTTAGTAACTATGGATCTACATTTAACTCCGTCAAGACCAAAGATTGAGTAAACTAAATTAGGTAAGAGATAGAGTAATAAGTGAGGTAAGAGATTGAGTAAACTAAGCGAGGTAAGAGATCGAGTACATGTAACTAAGTGAGGTAAGAGATTGAGTAAACTAAGCGAGGTTAGAGATCGAGTACATGTAACTAAGTGAGGTAAGAGATTGAGTAAACTAAGCGAGGTATGAGATCGAGTACATGTAACTAAGTGAGGTAAGAGATTGAGTAAACTAAGCGAGGTAGGAGATCGAGTACATGTAACTAAGTGAGGTAAGAGATTGAGTAACTAAGCGAGGTATGAGATCGAGTACATGTAACTAAGTGAGGTAAGAGATTGAGTAACTAAGCGAGGTATGAGATCGAGTACATGTAACTAAGTGAGGTAAGAGATTGGGTAACTAAGTGAGCTAAGAGAGTATGTAACAATCTAGTGGGGTTTAAAGGGGCATCAGAACTTTCTAATTTGCAGTTATTTATCTGTATATAGGCAGTAATCCACAAGAAACTGTATAATTGACATCCATTTATTGTACTTTTAGTAAGGAGTTAATTCGTCATAGTCTTGGGAGTTTATTTATCAATACAGTTACATTGGAGATGATTCATCACAGATACAGAAATTATAAAATTTCTTATGAGACATACACATTATAGTCTATTGTGGTTTTCAACAAGTTTAAGAAAGTAGATAAGCAAGTCTAGTACAACTATTTTGAAAATTAAGTCAATTTTTTTGTTCTAATATTCTAATACTTCTCTAAAAGGATGCAGTGTTGATTTGTTTTGTGAAGTTGGTATCTGTCAACATTTTAAAGATTGTACTTGTACATGTAGGTCCACTTCAACACTTTACTTATCTTAAGTTGCCTGAACACAACTACTGGTACCTTGTCTTTATTTCTTTAATATTCACCAATGTAGGATTTGTTGGGTTTTTTAGCGATGGACAGAAACAGGAGAAGCAGGTAAAAAGTTACATGGTCTATTTCTTGTGAGACTGAAATCACAGAGTATGCCTACTATGAATTTTTACGTGAATGCCATTATAAATACTTACTGTAGATGTGGCTGATGTAGGTTGGTTTACAGCATGTTTAAATGGTTTTTTGATGTGAGGATTAGCAGTACTTCTTTCTATTCCTACTTTATTTCCGGCTGATGGTGTTGATCTAAATTGGAGAGGAAAAACTTGTCAGTCATTTCACAAACAATTTTGAATCTGAAAATTGTCACCTAATTCTTACTTTCAAAATTTATCCGAACTGTGGCGTTTTATTCTACTCTGAAGCTTCATACATTCAAACCCCAGAACATTCTAGTCAAGAGTCCAGTACCCTGACTACTCAACTACCACGCCCCACCACAATGTTTTCTAACATTTTGTCCATCCAAAACAATATTTAAAAGTGAAAGGTAGCATCTTCCCGAGAAACGGGTTAAAGTTGCCAGACTAACTCTGAGCATGATCACTCCTAGTGTTGCAATTTTAACCCATTTATGAAAAGATTGCACTTTTAGTTCTTCGTTAAAACATTTAGGAGCTGCTCAGCCTCAGGGAACAAGAAGTTGTAAGACAAGGGGCTGACAAAGAACAGTAGCTAGTCATTCGGATGGGATGAAAACTAAGGTTCTGTGTACACATTGGTATGCACGTAAAAAGTACCCTTGACAGTTGGAATTCGAAATAAGAGTAGGCTGTAGTGCCGCTATCCAGGCAAAATTTCCCTCATAGCCCACTGTATAATCCCCATTTCATTTCATTAAAACATTCAATGAAGAAATTTGAAGTAATTACTGTAGTACGTAATTTCTATTGTAGACATTCAAATTACCCATGTGTAGTTAGGGTATGGTCCCCCTTGTCAGTGATGCAGGACGGAGGACTTGACAAGGACAGCTGTCTAGTCTGTCGGATGGGATGAAAAACCAAGCTCCCGTGTATACATTGGCGTGCACGTAAAAGATCCCTTGACAGTTGGAATTTGATATAAGAGTAGGTCGTAGTGCCGCTGTCGGGGAAAAATTTCCCTCATAGCACACTGTATGGCGTATGCCTGTCTTCATTAGATTAGCCCAGTTCGGAGCAGAACAGCAGTACGTTAAACCCCATTTCATTTCATTTCATTTCAGGGTATGAAAATGGTGACTTTCTAAAAGCTTCTCACTTTTGACCTGCTTATTTCATACATTTCATATTAATTTCTATTCTAACAAACCAGCGGTTGCCAGGCAAGATACGCCCACATTTTGCAAGAGATGGATTAAGAACAAGCTAAAAACAAAAGCGCTTTTTTGTACAATCAGGGGCCATAATCTAGGAAGTTATGGTCTGAAATGCGCAAATATCGAAAGGGACTGAGATCTTTGGAATATAAAGATACAGTTTCATCAAAATCGGATAAAAATTGTGACCTCTAGACGGTCCACACCCTTGTATTACATACTTTTACACACTTTGCGTACAAAGAGCAGCCATTTTGTTGGGCTGTTTCGTTCCGACATATATTTTAAGTTTCATCAAAATCTGATAACAATTGTGACTTCTAGAGGGTCCACAACCTTAATAGTAAGTGCAGGGGGACTGCACCACACAAAATTTACACAAAAACAAATACACGGACAAGACATCATACTCAGAAAAACACAAAGAGACAAACAATTCAAAAAAAGTAGCCGTAAGCTAAGGTATGACATACTTTTACACTATTTGCGTACAAAGAGGCGGCATTTTGTCAGGCAGTTTTGGTCTGATTTTCACGAAATTGGAACTCAACAGTCATTAGGGTGTAACGGTGATAAATTTTAAAAATTTTAAAATCAGATAATAATTGTGACTTCTAGAGTGTCCACAACCTCAGTATTAGTTACATACTTTTACACTATTTGCGTACAAGGAAGGAGCAGCCATTTTGTCTTGCAGTTTCGGTTCGATTATAACGAAATTCAAATTCAACCTTCAATGATGTGTAACGGTGATATATTAAAACAGTTTTTAAAATTGAACACAAATTGTGACTTCTATTGGGTCCACAAGCTAAAAATGCGATTTTACGAACAATCAGGAGCCATTATCAAATGGAACCAGGATCTTTGTGATATAAACATCAATTTAAAATTTCATCAAAAGCGGATAAAAATTGTGGTCTGTATGTCCACAAACAAATTTGTGTACAGGAGTATAAGGCGCGCCTGGCACGGCCATTTTTCCCAGCAGTTTTGGTTCGAATTTCGAGCGAAATTCCAACTCAACCAAATTAACGGTGTTATGTTCGACTGTTTTTTAAATCGGATAATTCGGATAATAATTGTGACCTCTGGAGGGACCACAAGCTAAAAATAATCTGGGGTCATAATTCAGGAAGTTTAATCTGGGGTCATAATTCAGGAAGTTATGATCCAATATGTGCGAATATCGAAAGGAACAAAGATCTTTGGGTTATAAACATGCATTTCAAGTTTCATCAAAATCATATGAAAATTGTGACCTCTACATGTAGAGTGTCCACAAGCTAAAAACATGATTTTTCTGCAATAATCGGATAAAAATTGTGACCTGTATGTCCAAAAACAAATTGTGGACGGACAGACGGACGAGGTCAATGGCATAATACGTCCACATAAAATTGTGGGTTGCGTATAAAAATAGATAATGAAGACAGTTATTTGATTCATCTTTTATATATATTCTATGTGTCAGCCCCAAATTCAAACACTAAAAAACAAAATGAAGTAGTAATCTCATAAATATGACCTAATCTTTCGATATGACGTCCAAAAGCTGAAAAATGGCACTGTCTTTAATAAAAAGACAAATTTATTTTGTGTGATGAAATTAACTTAAGTCATGTTTTTAACTTGTTTGGTGTGGTGTTTGAATGGAGGCGTCTAGAGGGTTTTGTAAAAGTTGATTCACGTAGCTTTCATTCTTATCTATCTATTGTTATAGAAATAGATGGAACATCTCCTTTAAATTTTAAGAATAAATCACCTGCGGCTGTGTGTTAAATTATTAGTGATGTTTGCTACTGTAAGTGGACTTTGAGTAGTGTGTGATCGAAGCATGCTCCGTGCTCTTGGTTTTTCTGAAGAAACTGTCAACAAACACAAACAGTGACATTATACATAGGTATCTACATTTATAGAACAATATAAAACTACTTCATATTGCAATAACACACTGATTTGGTGTCCAACAGTAGACCTTAAAGATGCATTATATAAGAGCTAAATCTCCCTTTATTTTGGATTCAAAAGTTATATAAACTATTATTTAGACATTCATTCACATAACAAGCCGATAATCAACTATTTAGATCATTGGATGGCAGAGTTTTAAAAGGATTCAATTAAGGTCACCATTTAACAATTAACAAGCACCGTTGTTACAATAATAAACAATCCAAACCACATCTTGACAAAACTTCAAACTGTGATAACTTTGCTCAGAATAAAGTGATTTGAAAAAAATGTTCAATATACATGTATTCATTTTGCATTAATTATCCATTTTTGAACTCTTAAAGCAGGAATGGCATGCTCTTTATCTAATTCTCACATATCACATCTTTAATCAAAGACTAAAGAGGCCCTGAGTAACTTATCTGTAAAAACGCAATAATAGAATATAGACAGGAGCCATCAGACACAATACCCCCCACTCAAAATCCAGCAGCCAAGTTGTACAAGTTAGTTCTAAAATCAATGTAAACAAATCCTGCCGAGCAAGTTTTAAAAAATAAATCAACAAAGTTTTAATCAATTCACATGTAAAAACTTACAGTTACAGAATGTTCTATCTAAAAGTCAAAATGTGAAGATAACCCTACAAAACACATTCAAAATTTACAATCTCCAATTTTAGAAATTCAATAGGGCCCTTCCTTTATGCCCTGAGTTTAGAAATATTCACTTTCCTGAATATGTTTCTCCTTAGGCCATAATCAACAATCTCACCAAGTTTTAAAAAATTCCACCTCAAACTTCATCCTGTATCGCATGCAATTTAAACACACATTATGCAAGAGCTAAATATGCCTATTGTAGGTCTTTCTTTAGGCATTAAATGTTATATAAACTATAAATTAGACATTAATTAACGTATTCACATCATAATCAACTCTCGATGTCAACGCTAGCCTGGGATAATTGTTGGATTGTGATTCGATTTGCTGCATAACTTTCCTTCTCGATTTAACGATCAAGTGGATAATCAAGACTATAATTTTGGTCGTACCGACTTTAGTAATGATGACTGAGGCTATGCGGAACTTTCGATCGCTTATTTCTCGGTTCATAGTGGATCAATTTGACTGAAATTTTCAGCAAATTGCCTTTACATTATCTAGTTTTTAACTATTATAGTGAGATTTGCCAATTCGTTATCGAATCTCCCATAATGTATCTTTAAAATAACTCCACAATATGCACTGAATATTTACGATTAAAATTTTTTTTAAATTGGATTGCCTTGTTCCTTAAACACTGATCAACAATCCCAGTGGTTTTTAATAAATTTTATCAATAACTCTGTTCTGTATGGCATTCACAAGTTTTCATAAATCTGAAAGTAAATGGGGAAAAATCTCTGCAATTTTTTTTATGGATACCAGTAGATAGTTTTCTCCAGCTTTTCCCTTAGTTACATGTTACAGTGAACATTTAGCGCAAATGTGAAAATGTAGGCATTTACAAGCATGTGCAATGATTAGAAAACTAAAAGTTTTAAAATGAAAGAAAGTAGAAAGACTCAGACAAAAAGCATCACACCAAACACCAGAAATTTGATTCAGATTACATTTTTTATTGTTTAATATTTGTGTTTCTCCATTACATTTACCATCTATTTCTCTAGACCAGTGATTCTCAACTAGTGTGCTGCAGCAAACAGGTGTGCTGCGGCACACAGGTGGCCGCGCGATCTTCCTACAGTGTGCTGCGAAATTTTGAACGGCACACTAAAAAAATGTGAAAAGCCAGTTGATCCCAATTGAGTATTCACAGGTGTCTACTGCCCATTAGTTGTGTTTTTCCTTATTTAGTTTGAGTAATTCTATGTCTCTATGACTAGTCTGTGTCTACAGTTATATGCTGTCTATGACTTGCCATGTTTTTATTTTTGCAAAATTCAAATATTTTTCATATATATATTTAGCCAGGTGTGCAACTATTTTTTCACGTGTTTCAAGGTGTGCCGTTGCCAAAAAAAGGTTGAGAACCACTGGTCCACTGCTCTAGACAATCAAACCCAAACTGATCAGCAGTGAATATTTACTAGGCTGCTACAATCACTGAGAGGGCGAGTTAATTAACTTTTTTCCTTCTGTAAATTAAATTCTAGAACATTTTTTTAAAGTATTAGAAAAATATAGGTGTTTGAAATATATCTGGATAAAAAATATTTCCTATTCAGTGTAAATGGGTATCTAAAATAGTATGCATGGGCGTAAAATGAATAAAAGGCACCATTCAGATTCTGCTCAACCCAGTTTATGTTACTATGTCTTATGTAAACAATGCATGCGCTATCGAGGCCATGTGATGTGACGTCACACGTAGTAGGCATTTGAACTTATAAAGGTCAGTCATCTTACACAGAGTTAGAAGGCGTTCGCATTACCTAGAGCTGTGAAACAGATTGAATCAAACCTCCTAATCAGCAATAACAAAAAATTCAGAAAAAAATTGAATTTATCATTTAGTTTATGAAATAAGATTTAACTTACGACTTGGTACTGGTGATACACAAATTTTATTGGATGGCAATAAATCCACGGATAAAAACGGTTCTGTCTGAAATTTTTATACAAATAGTTAAATAATTATTTGACTTGTACACAGGAGTAGGGCTAGGGAGGTAGGGGAAGGGGGAATATGGGCATGAGGGTAATATGGTATACAGCTTGTCATATAACATTTCTTTATTTGCCAAGACGTCTACATCCTTTAATCATGTGTTACACATCAAAACAAGTTCACAGCACATTACACAAAAAAGCTCAGTATTCTAAAAATTTCTGTGTTAAAGTTTTTTTGGGGGTTGAAGACTATCAGTCCATTTCATGAAACATTTACCTTGTAAAGAAAATCTCTTCTGAGCATTAAAATAGATTTGTACTGTTAGGCTCTAGCCTGTAGTTACAGGGGGAGAACTCCTGGTCTATTTCTATGAAATTTTGACTTACCTAATCCTTGTCACTTGGGGTACCGTAATATGGGACATGCAAATTGGGGCGATATGAGCCATGGTTCATATTCCGCCCTAACCATCAAAAATAAATTGTCCACAAAATCTTAACAAAAATACTTGTTAATGATTTGTAGAATAATTCATATGCATGTAAGCTAAAATTATTTTTAGCAAATTTATTATATTTGATTTAGAAGCATTATAATGATAATATGGGGGGGGGGGGGATTATGGGGCATAATTTTTTGCTGTGGAATATATTATAGGTATAATGATCCGATAAACTAAACTTATATCTTTCAATTGAAACTGCACTCCAAATTTTTCATTTTGTAAAATGCTGTCAGCTCCTATTACCCCATCCAAGTGGGGTAATATGGGCCATCACCCATTATTTTTCAAGCCCTATAGCAAACAATTAGCAACTCACATTGTCCTTATATTTTATAAATTGAAAGATGAGTTCAGTAGCTTTAATTAGAAAGTTGATTTGTTTATCACATTATACCTATGAAATATTCCACAGCAAAAAATTATGTCCTATAAGCTTATTACCACCCCACCCTTTCATATATCATTTTAAAGTTCTTTGTCAAATCATAGTCCCTATATGATGATGAAGTGGATGATTTTAGGTAAGTTTACAAAATGTTCTCTATTTCTGAATGATTAATAGTTATATGTCAATAGTTTTAATCATTTCATGTAATTAGTCCCATGATTAACTATTCTGGAACTGAGAATGTGTCAAAATATAAACAAGAATATCAGGCAACAAGGCAAGTTCTATCTGAATATACTCCCACAACCAATCATCATAGCTGAAATGCTTTTAAAATTATCTCAATTCTGTTCACACATTTGTTTTTTTGGATAGGGGCCTAAGCAGAACAATATGTGACATGTCACTTGATTCTTTCAATTCAGTAAGTTCTAGACTGATGAGCATCTCATTGTTAAATGCCAACTGGTTCTGGTACATCATTTCCAATACAAGCTTACTACTTATGAATTGTATGCGAACAGTCACGTCAGCTAGTCAGGTGAAAAACAACTGACATTTTTTGTCCAAACCAATATTTTTTGCAAACTCAAAGAGGAAACAATTTGATCTGGAATGATCAAGACTACTTACAACCTACCTCATACATCTTAATTGACCTTCCTCGTGATTTAAGAACCTGAATATTTCTCTGGTTACTATCCTCGTCAACACTTACAGACTCATTCACACTGTAAACGGGTTGAGATGAACATCTGCTATTCCTTGGATTCATTTTTGATGATGCTATGCCAAACATCTCCACATTTTTACCCTTTGTTGCCTGTTGTGTAGTTTTATTCCACGACTTGCTTGACACAGTTGACATATTTTCGGTGGGTTTTTATTAATGACCTAGCTACTAGGCCCTAAATACTATTATTTAATAATGCTGGGAACTTTAGAAAAAATATGTCAGAATGAGTTCCTTAGTTAGAATTCAACTGCATTTCGGACTACAGATAACTATGAATAAACTAGCATCGATGTCTTAATTATAAAGATAACTACCACATCTTCTAGCAGTAGCCTATTATCAAAAAATATTCCACTGCACAAAATAAAATCGTTTGCAAGTTCAAGTTATTATTATTATTATTAGCAAAAGCATATGATTTGTAAGCATTTCGGTTGTTTTACAACATTAACGAGCTTTAATATGCAAAGCTGAAATATGTAATCCACTTCACACACGAGTGCTTCATGGTAACTAAAATATCAGATTAAATATTCACTGATCAAAGGCAAGCTGCACGTATCCATTCTAATCTTGCAGATTCGAGTCAGCCATGTTGTTTACACCGCACTACTCCCAGTAACGGACTAATCCGCAGAACATAGTTTTATTAGTTTCCATACATTTATATAATGTTACTTATGAAATGTGCTAAAATATGTATTTATTTATCTTTGTGACTTTCGGTTTTCTTGAATAGAAATGTATACCCAGAATAATTCTGCAAACAATAAACACAACAAGAATTAGTACACCATCAAGGGAAATAACTCTAATTTTCAAGAAACCGATTCATTGTCAATCGGCTGATCCTAGCCTTATATATATATATAAGGCTCTGAGCTGATCCATACTTTTATGTATGAAAGTGCACTGGGAATACTTTTTTGATATAAAATAAAGAAGAATATTCAAAGCTATAACATAATTTATTTTATCTTTTTGGATCAAATACTGATATGTTGCATTGTTACAATTCAATAAATAATTTTAACAACAATTTTCTCTTATTTATTTTTTTACATTAACAATAAGAAAAAATCAACAAAATGAACAATAAGTTTTGACCACTTGATGATAGGTTATATTTTATATCTGGTTTTAGTTTCAAATTTATTAACAGGAAAATGTAAACCAAATTCCAGAAAAAAGATTCCATAAACATAATTGCTGTGAAATTGGCTAAATATTTCTTCAAACCAACAACAAATTTACAAAACCGTGATCTTAAATATAAATGGTTTTATCTAGTAATATATTTGAAACAAAAACCTGAAACATTATATCTTAATAATATTAAACTATAACAGAGAAATCCTTTGTTTGTTAGCTGCTATGTAATACTTTATAACTTTATAAAGAGTCAGTTGACATAGGAGTGAAGTGTAAATACTATAACACTTATTATTTTACTATAACACTTGATAGTTGTGATGATTATTGTGACTAGAAATCTCCCCTGTTGACATTAACCATAATAATAATCACTGGGATAAGTTTGTAATGATAATAATAATAATAATGACAATAATATCACATGTAATTTTAAATAATCTGTCATTGTGTATATTTTAATCATAGTTAAATAACAGAGTTTTTATATTGAATTATCTAATGTGCTTCATTTTCAATACAAAACCCTCATCCATGTAACAAATGGTTGGCAAAAAAAATGTAAAATTATATACGTGGAAAAAAGATTTAAAGATTCAAACTTATTTAATTTGCAAATTCAACCTCTAATGACAGTTTTCAGATGAATATCAATGAAGAAAAATTGATGGTGAAACTTTAAGAAGTTTGAATATGGCACTTCTCACATAAGTCTGAATACAGGTCAAAGATTATACAAGCAAAAATAGAAATATACACTTATGTAAAGAGTTAAATAAAAATAAAATTAAAGAAAACTTGGATTTGCAAGATCAAAAAAAACAACACAACAAACATAAAACATAAGATCCAGGTCTGGGGCCAAGAAAACCTTCATCTCCCAAACTGATTTTCGATTAAAATCACGATTTTAGTAATTGTCATCAATCAAAACACAGATCACTTTCAGGAAATTATGTTTCCTATACTGCTATAGCCTGGATTCTTTCACGCTGGGTAGTATTCATCCCACCAACCCTTTCATCAACATGGCCAATTTCATCTAACACCTTGAGTTAGGTAGTTACATCCTGTGGTACTGTTTTGTCTGCATATGTCCGAAATGTGTGCCTGGTTGTCAGTCAACGGCATATAATGACTTGTCAAAGATGCCACCTATGCTAACAGTATATAACACCCAAAGTCCAGTATTAAAGATGCATTATGCAAGAGCTAAATCTGCATACTAGGTATTGCAGGTCTTTTTCCTGGCTGCAAATGTTATATAAATTATTATTTAGACATTTATTCACATGCCAAGCCCATAGTCAACACTCTAGACCATCGGATGGTTAGAAATTTTGCGCCAAATAATAATTTAATGTTTAAAAAAATAATCATTATGACTTTATTTATTATCATAGCAATGGTACTTGGCATCAAGACTATTTATGCTATATCTTGTCAAAACTTCAAACACTCATAACTTTGCTAAGAATTTAGTAATTTGATTAAATTTTTTACAATATTCATTATAGTAAATGATGATGCATCTTTAATAATATTTTTATTTATCGATCTACCTATTACTATAGATGTCAAATTAAGAAGTCAAATTGTCAGCTGATACCTTTGGGAGAATATTCCAAGTGATGAATGTAGCCACTTTCAGTTAATGATTTAAGTAATAAGCATATTTACTGATAATTTTGATAATCCTGTTATTCTAGAAGCTTACTGATTATTCATATTATAGTCAAGACCCTGTTTTGAAATTCACGGCAATTTTGGCATTCTCCCACGACCTCACATGGAAATCAGTGTTTTGAAGTCTATTACTATATAAAGTTCCATACAATATAAGGCATTGCATAGTGGCATTCTCCCACGACCTCACATGGCAATCAGTGCTTTGAAGTCTATTACTATATACAGCTCTATACCATATAAGGCATTGCATACTACGAAAGCTATAGTAAAAAGGCTAAATTTGGTGTGAAAACTGCACACACTTCCTGGGTGGGAACAACAAACAAGACCTGATAATACTTGGAAGTCTTCTATGTCTTTTTACAAGTGATTAAAACAGTCTTTTTATAAAGAAGATATTACTTCAGTTTCTATTGAATAACTGAAGACCGGTATTTGTTAACATGAGCTTCATGCTGGTACTTTAATGGAAAATAATGTGCATGGCGTACCTGTTTTTGTGGTAATCATAAATATTATTCAGAATACGATATGCTACATAACAAATTACCAAGGGAATGGAAGCTTATTTACTCCATTTCTTAAAAGTGACCACTTTTTGTGATCCAATTCTGCAGTGTTTAGTTGAACCTAGGTTGAAGAATTAACAACCCAGGTAGAAGTGTTTTGCTGGTCAAGTCTTTTGTGGGACAAAATGACCTTGATGCCTGATAATAGTAGAGGACGATTATTAAATCCTATCATAATTAAATAAATGTACAGAAATCAGGCCTTCAGACAGCACAATACAAACACAGAGAAAATAAATAAATCTACATTAATACATTAAAGGTCTGACAACCAACTCCACCATCAGCTTATAGTGAAACCCTTATATATAACATATAAAGGTTTTGTTATAACGCAAGTGTCATCCGTGTGAAGTACTAGTGTAAAATATATATGTGCTTGCTATAACATGGGTTTAGTTTTATTGTGAACTCTTGAGTATATAATATACGATTCTGACTATAACCGTAATAAATAAAAGTCTCTTTATAAGGTGGTTTGCGGTTACCCAACCACTGCTTTCTTAAGAAGCCAAAATCACCGAGCCTACACCTCTTTCCGCCCATTTTTTTCGGGTCCTATAAATCAATCTTGGCGTGTTTTTTGCAGAACAATTCAAATCATGAGATTGGCAAATTTTTGGGATCCACGTAAATTGAGGCTACCTATGTGACATGATTGACCTGGATAATTAAGGGTGACAGTTACTGAAGTGACTTTTCCATTGATTACTTTATTAGTTCAGTTCTATCCCTTCTTACCCACCCCATAGGTATTATTTTTTGGGAGGCTTAACATGGGTATAATATAAAATGGTCTCGACAAGACCTATTCAGCAAAACATAACAGTATTATAGTATAGTGTATAATATATAATTGTCTCAGTATAGTTAGAGAATACCAACACCAATGTTATAGCAAAACCTTTCTGTATATACTAGTAACCAGTTTCTAAATCTGGGCCCTGTTTCTCGAAATCTTAACTAAAGACAAAATCCAAATTTTAGTAGATACTTCAATTTTGATTGGCTAAGCACTAAAATCAATGTAATATTATACAATCAAATTACTAAAATTTGGATTTTATCTTACTTAAAATTTCGTGAAACAGGCCCCTGGCCACAAGATCATAAAAGTTCTCAAACACTGAAAATTTTTATCATTTCAAAAAAACATATATATCTAAAAAGCACACACAATTGATTTCATGATATATATATACAAAATAAATTGTTCAATTAAATTCATGATATTGCAGCCAGGAAAAACAAAAGAAAGAAACATAAAATAAAATAAAATCAGTTCGTTGCTTAATTAATAATGCACTTTCATATTTTGATTATTTTGACTACAGACATAAAGCAAGCAATTAATTGAAAGACATATAGAAATAGAAGATATTAACTAATGATATATTGATATATTACACTTCTGTGTTAGCCAATATCAACATATATTATCATACAGTAAAATAACCATTCCTGGCGGCATGAAATTAATGCTATTGGGTCAATCCGTGTCAAATCACCCAATCAAGTAAACCATATGCGATTTGATTTTGCTGAAATTTGGTTTTAAATACATGTAATATAATATATATATATTATGCCTATTTTGGTTGAGAAGGCTGATATTACAAATTTTAGCATGATCAGACTACGGTTTCTTAGATAAAGGCTCATTCACTCGGTCAAAATTGCTAAAATGGGTATATCCGAAAAGGTAATTCTACAAGGATTCCAAATCTACCAGTATGTTTTAAAGACGGTTGACTGCTTGACCTTGTTTGACATTGTGTAGAAAACATATGTAGGGCTAATTTTTTAATGAAAAGTCATGTCCAGGTCATGTAGGCGACGAAGTTAAGCAGTCATCACTCCTAAGTCAAAATGTATGGCATATTTTGAATCCTTGTAGAATTACCCATTTTACCAATTTTGACCAACAGGGAATGTTGGACTGATCTAGTTAAAATTCAGATCATTAGTCTTTTCAGTCAAAATGCATTTTTTGGTGTGGTTTGTCATGGAATGACCCTATTGTCCGACTGCAAATTGTAGCTGTATGGCTCAAATAATGTTAACATATTACAAGGTTTAAAAAAGAATGTCAGTTATGTTTTGCCGGACCAAGAAGTCACCTCACACTCAGTTTACATAAACAAGTTGTCAGTATGTTCCTGGCTTGCACTAAGTGCCTTTTTTCACCTAGAATCAGATGTCAGAGCTTATTTCTGGCCATTTTGCTTAAACTTCATATAAATAAATATCAGTGGACGCCATACTACCACAGCAGTCTCTCAGAAAAGGTTCATGAAAGCAGAAGAAAATATTTACTGAAAATGAACTGACGGATACAATTCAGACAAAATGGGCAGTTTTTATGTAAACTGATGGGAGTGTGATGTGATTTCTCAGTCCAGCAAAAGATAATTTGACATTCTTTTTTAAAACTTGTACTATAAGTTAACACTATTTGAGTAGTCGGCCTGAAATTTGGAGGGCAGTTGTCACACATGTATGACATGTGAAATATGAATGATATAGGTACAATATTTTATGAATTATTTCATTTTGAATAGTGTAATCGTGTTTTCTGGGCCACCCGAAATAATAAGCAATAATTTCTTGTTTTACAGTAGATCATGTATGTGTTACCATAGTTACATAGTATATCAACAAATGACTAGTCATTTTAAATATAATTTGTTGGAAATTATTTATAGAGACAGTGTCAATACAACAATTGGAAGAGGAATATAATGCTTTTAAAAACCTCATCAAACTAATAACATTTGATTGTTTTGAGACTTACATATGGGTCTTTTTCTGCTTAGACTTCTAATGAAGGTGCCTATGGAAAAATACTGTTGTTTTGGACTCAACAATTATAACGTTCAACATCTAGCGTCATATGCAGGAGGTAAATTCACATCACATTGTAATTTCGTTAACAACGTAAATACAGTGAAGCTAAACTTTGATTCGAACTAATTCAAAAAAATATCCCTTCGCTGGGTCATCGTCTGCTTCAGGTATGTCTTATCATGTGACCATAAAATAAACATCTCTCTGTGACATATTTCACAGCTAGTAGATGGCGTTACAATCGGGATACACTTGCACTTCATAAAATAAACGAGGGACTTGAATTTCCAATATTCCCAAAGCTAATAAAATTTACACAGACAATTTAAAACAATACATCTAATTACATTTTCAGAATTTGTTATTTATTTCCATTTCACCAAACTGGGATTAAGATGAAACATTTTGTTTTGATTTTTCAAAGAAAGATTGTGGCTAAAATGACAATAATACAACATAAATATTAGGGGCACAAAAATTTACGAATGAAAATTCTCCAATTGAGATTACTCACTATTTGGTTTAGAAATGCAAACTTAGTAAACGGAATCTTAGATTCTCTGTGCTCAACATGGTCCAGTTATTAAAATGTTAAGTACAAAATGTCCCCAAAACGTAACACAACCAGTGAGTTATATCTGAAATGCGCAAATATCAAAAGAGACCGAGATCTTTGGGATATAAAGATATGTTTTAAGTTTCATGAAAATTGGATAAAAATTGTGACCTCCACAACTTTTGTATTACATATTTTTTACACGAAGAGCGGCCATTTTGTTGGGCAGTTTCATTTCAATTTTCCCGAAATTTTATTTTTTCTAACGTTCGGATATGTGCGATTATCAATAGGAACCAAGATCTTAGTGTGTAATGGTGATATATTCACACGTTCTTTTTAAATCCGATAAAAATTGTGACCTCTAAAGGGACCACAAGCTAAAAACGTGATGTTTTGTAAAAGAAGTTACGATCCGATATGCGCGAATATCGATAGGAACCAAGATCTTTGGGTTATAAACATGTATTTCAAGTTTCATCAAAATTGGGTGAAAATTGTGACCTCTAGAGAGTCCACAACCTTGATATACCATATTTTTAGACTGTTTGCGAACGAGGGGCGGCAATTTTGTCTAGCAGTTTTTGTCTGATTTTCACGAAATTCAAACTCAACCGTCATTAAGGATTAACGGTGATATATTCAAACGTTTTTTTAAATCGGAATAAAATTGTGACTTCCATAGGGTCAACAAGCTTAAAACACGATTTTCATACAATCACAAAGTTACGATCTGATATGAGCGAATATTGAAAAGAACCAAGATCTTTGTGATATAAGCATAAATTTAAAGTTGCATCAAAATTGGAAAAAAATTGTGGCCTCTAAGAGGGTTTACAACCTTGATATACCACATATTTACAGCATTTGTGTTATACAAGGGACGGCCATTTTGTCCGTCAGTTTTGGTGTAATAGTGATATATTCACACGTTTTTTTTAAATCGGATAATAATTGTACATATTACATGATCAATTACTTTTTTCAACAATTGGTGATCAGAAAATGGGTGTTTTTGTTGCTCTGAGCAATGATGTGTATGAATTGTCAATTGGACCCCTCATTAAAAGAATGACCCATATGGTTTTTTTATAGTTATGCCAGAGAGGTGGGTTATTTTCCCAGATTTTGTTTGAAATTCCATGTTAGTCATTTTTACAGGATTTTTTTTAACTTGTAACAATTTCCACAGCACTTGTTGTTCATGACCTAATTGAGTAAAACTAATTAATTCTTGTACTACAAAGATTAATTTCTCATAAAATAAACATTTGACACTGTCTCTAAAAATATTATATTTAAAAACAATTTGTGTATATAAAAGATATTGAACATTTAATATGTCATTTAAAAATACGATCAAAACAGCCAGGATACTCGAGATTTATGGCCGCGATTTTCTTTCAACGAATTCAGCTCGGACGGCAAACTCTGCTTTCTTTCCTCTTTTTGCTTTGTAAGAACAGGTTTTATAGTCTCTATTATAATATCAGATGTTCCATTACTTAATGGCCGATTGTGTTTTTTCTGTTTGCCACTAGTTCGGATACCAACAGAGGATTTGTTAGTGGAGTAATACTTTTGGGATTCAACTTGCTGAATGCTGTTTCCATTCTCTTTGCAGCTCTCAATGAAAGGATGGGGACTACATTGAGCTGGTAGACTGACTGTGCTAGAACTAGATGATACTGGTCCAGGATCTACTTCTTGTATTCCCAACCCAGTTAAAGTATTAACAGCATCTGCTCCAAACAATATTCCTGCCTCACGACTAATCTCCACAGGCGATGATTGATCCTTTTGTTTGCTCTTCTCGTGTAAAAAAGTTGTGGATTTTGATTCAACACTTTTGAATTTTTTCTTCTTTTTGCGACGGACTCCTTCCTTCAACTTAAATATAAAATTAAATAATTCAGATTCACCAAGAACAATAATTTCTTTTTTAAATATGTGAAGCGATGTTTCCTAAGAATAAACATACTCTGTCTTGTGCATGTAGATGGATCGGTGGTATGGACCATGATTTAAGAAGCCAAAGTTTTCATGTAGAAAATAACCCTGATGTCAAAAGCCAACAGTGGAGACAAAAGTACAACACAATCTTAACTAAAATTGCAGGAAGTCTGCACTCTTAACTGATATTGCAGGAAGTCTGCAAAGCTTATGCTAAATTTTCCCAAAAAATATTCTGCTCTTAATTAATTTTTTTTTCTTTTTTGATCTTGGAATAAGGAATTACATCACTCAAAACCCTTTCTCGTTAGGTATACAAACTCATACATTTATTACATAAAACATCTTTAAACACATACAAGCTTATTTTTTTACTTGATAATGTTGTCCTCCGTGTGTTTTGAAATGTAGTATGTATTTAATCAGAATGCAGTGGGTTAAAAGATAGCATTGATGTTTTAATTTATGTGGGAGATTCATATTATAAAGATAATTACCAAATGTGTCTCAGGATGTGATGTTATATTAGTGGAATTAACCAGGCACGGATCAACTGAAAACATACAAAGTATCACATTTAAGGAGCAATTAATGAATCAATAAAGTTACTGCAAATCAAAGGGAAGTACATGAATTTATACTACTACAGACATATATAAATGTGACCTTTGTATTCTAATTTTTTCTAAGAGGATGAATAAATCGCCAACATGTCAGTAAATGATGGACATACAAAGATAGAACAAGCTAACAGTGAGGCTGATGTACGCCACGCCACCGCAATCCCAAAATAAATAGATGACACATATTAATTAATTGCACATTTATCTTTTTGTAAAGTATCAAGAAATCAAACTGATTATCTATACTTAGTATAACAAAGCAGAAAATGTTCACAATCAAACTTGGTCAAAGTTCGGAGTACCTGGTAGTGAAATTATACACTAAGTTTCATCACTGTCTATCAGTTAGAATCAAAGCATTGACCAATGAAATTGCTTAGCTCTGCTGAGCTTTAGTGGAAAATGTTAATCATTGAACTCAGTCAAGACATTCACCTAATGAACATCTACATCAAGTTTAAACATCCTACCTCAATTAAAAGCAGAGTTGTTATGTTCCAAAGTCTTGACCAATCAACTTACTTATCCTAGATGTAGGAAGTCCGTCAGATTTAACTAGATAAATGGGTGTACTGATAGAATATTTTTTCAGTGATACGCCGATACTCCAGTCCGATGCCAATAGTTCTATGTATGTGATCCTCGTTTTTCAATTGTTGCACAAAGAAAGTAGTCTAGGGCATATAATACCATATTACCCTATGGCTAGGTAAACTTATTGAAATTAATAGTTTTTCTCAGATATATTTTCGCAGATGAAGCGTGAACATCAATAAATGAAGTGAAAAGTTATCGAGAATCCAATTCAAAGCACTGTTGGAGTGGTGATAAGACATTGTAGGCCTACGCTGTTTTTAGTGCCTATTTGTCATTCTTCGTGGCTAGAAATGGTAGAATGGTCCGAACCATTATCGTCACCGTTGTTGCTCGCCTTTCTAATTGGCTCATACTGATTAGGAAGAATAGTCGGGGTGAAATAAATGTCTGACAAGTTGTCACTTTCTGCCGATGCCATATTGAAATATACAGTGACTGCTACATGAGAGTCACCTCTTATGTCATGTCACATGATTTAGCTTCAGCTCATTAATTGTCCGGTGTTTCCGTAATTGCGGAAATCTGAAAGTGTTTTTTTAATGTTATTTATACTTTTACTATAGCATTCTCCTTTGATTTAAGAAATAAAACCAACAGAAATCGGTTGATTGATCTGGCACTTTTGTTCGCTAATGCCGTTACCAGGTATGATGGGTCTGCGAGTTGATTTGCTACCGCCTAATGACGGGTGCGAACTGATTCGTGCTCATCAAAAATGGGATTAAATGCATATTGTCAAGCAGTGCCTCCCTTTAGGACTAACAATAACATAGATGTTGATCTTATTCTGCTATGTGCTCTTCTTCAAGTCCAAGGTGTGTGAGGGTGTGGCCTATGGGTCTAGTGCTGTTTTTCAATAAACTGTTGATCCCAGGTTTGTATGTGACAAGTTGTGTTGCCTCCCTAATAGTATGCTATATTTCTGGTTTCCTGCATGCAAATGAATTATTAAATTATGTGCATGTCTACGTTTACATGGGTGGGCCTTGGCTTTACATCCCATCCAAATGAATAGGCACACTAAAGGTGAACCAGACATAAAAAATTGAGCCCTACCTAATGTTGTTTCACTAGCATTTTTACGTATAGTGGAAGCTGGTCGATTGTGACTCATAGCTCCCATGTCCACAGAGTTTCTTCTCTGCAACATGGTTGGATTAGGTTGTTTTGGCATCGTTTCAAGAAGTTGTTTTAATTCTGGACTAATAGTAACTGGTCGTCCCCTTAACAAACATACGACACATACGATCATCAATATAACAAACTCCACAGATGTCCAGACCATTTGACGATCAGAGATCTGTAACAAAGAAAATATTATATTACAGAACTAGTTTAAACAAGCCAACAGTGAGGCAGATGTCCCCTGCCGAAATTCCAAAATAAATAGATGACACATTAATCAATCACACATTTATTTTTTTTCAAACGTATCGAGCAATCAAACTATACACTAAGTTTCATCACTCTCTATCAGATAGAATCAAGGTTATCTTGTCCCAAAGCATCGGCCAATGAAATTGATTAGTTCTGCTTAGCTTTAGCGCGAAATGTTAATCATTGAACTCAGTCAAGACATTCACCTAATGAACATCTACATCAAGTTTAACCATTCTACCTTAATTAAAAGCAGAGTTGTTATCTCTGCTTACCCTAAGCAGAAAATGCTCATCTTCGAACTCCATCAAGGCATTGACCTAATAAACACATACACCAAGTTTGAAGATTCTAGCTCAATTAGAAAGAGAGTTCTTGTGTCCCAAAAAGTGTGACGGACTGACAGACAGAAAAACCCATTTTAATAGTCCCCTGCTTTCTTCGGAGGGGGGGGGGGGGGGGTGGGACAATAACATAATTCGTGAACATATAGGCTAACAATAGACACACATACAGAATACTTTAATATAAATATATATCATTACCTTATTAGTCAAGGCCTCCATGTTTTTCGCCAGGTTATCAACAATTGACGTTAAATTATCGATCCTAGATTCTAAAATATCCAACTGTCTTTGTTGTTGGATATCCTGTACAGTGGGGAAAAAAAGAATCAAAATCACTGCATAATATACATTTAGAATTTATATATTGTAGCCTACAATATAAATTTACATAATGAAGTATAGTAAGATGTAGCTTACAGTAAGAATTTACTGTAAGATGCTGGCTCGCTAGCCTGGAGGTCGGGTGATCGATCCCTGCATTGGCCGAGAAAGTTCATCCAGATTTACTGGTGTGGTTCTTCCTTGTCAGTGATGCAGGACGGAGAGCCTGACAAGGACAGCTGTCTAGTCTTTCGGATTGGACGAAAAAAACGAGGTCCCATGTACACGTAAAAGATCCCTTGACAGTTGGAATTCGATTTAAGAGTAGGTCGTAGTGCCGCTGTCTGGGCAAAATTTCCCTCCTAGCACATTGTATGGCATATGCCTGTCTTCATTAGCCCAGTTCGGAGCAGAACAGTAGAATGTTAAACCCCATTTCATTTCATTTCATATATATTGCAGCCTACAGTAAGATTTCATATATTGTAGAATACAGTTAGAATTTTCATTGTAGGGTACAGTCAGATTTTATATTGTAACATAAAGTAGTAATGTGGTGATGTATACCGTCGTCTAGAGTTAGAATTTACATATACTGGTGTGTAGTATATAGTAATAATAAAATCACAAGGGATTGTCACTATACTTTTGAGTTAAAATGTTGTATATCACAGTTAGAGAAAACATCATCAACATTAAATATCTTACATGTATTTCCGACTCTCTGGTAGAATTATTCAACCTGGCGATTGTTTTATTCATCAATTTCATGATTTCTTCATTCTGTTTCTTGAATCTCTGACTTAATTCTTCTAGAAACCTAAAATTATAATAAAAGACATTTAATGTCTTGCCAACACAATATTTCAATCATTTTGAGACTACATCTTAGTGTGTAACAGTGATATATTCACACGTTTTTTTTTTTAAATCGAATAAAAATTGTGACCTCTACAGGGACCACAAGCTAAATCAAGGGCCATAATTCAGGAAGTTACAATCCGATATGTGCGAATATCAAAAAGAACCAAGATCTTTGGATTATAAACATATATTTCAAGTTTCATCAAAATCAGATAAAAATTGTTACCTCTAGAGGGTCCACAACCTTGATATACCATATTTTTACACTATTTGTGTAAGAGGGGCGGCCATTTTATCCGGCAGCTTTGGTCCAATTTTCACGAAATTCGAACTCAAGCGTCAATACGGTGATATATTTGAACTTTATTTTGAATCGTACATGTATAATAATTGTGACCTCTAGAGGGACCACAAGCTAAAAACGCAATTTTTCGTACAATCAGGGGCCATATTTCAGGAAGTAACAATCTGATATGCGCGAATATCGAAAGGAACCAAGATATTTTGGTTATAAACATGCATTTCAAGTTTCATCAAAATCGGACCAAAATTGTGACCTCTAGGGGGTCCACAGCCTTGATATACCAGATGTTTACACTATTTGCGTACAAGGGGAGGCCATTTTATCTGGCAGTTTTGGTCCTATTTTCATGAAATTCGAACTCAACCAACATTATGGTGTAACTGTGATATATTCGAACCTTTTTCTTAAATTGGATAATAATTGTGACCTCTAGAGGGATCACATGCTAAAAATTGTTACCTCTACAGGGACCACCCTCTACAGGGACCACAAGCTAAAATCGTGATTTTTTTGTAAATCAAGGGCCATAATTCATGAAGTTACAATCCGATATGCGCAAAGATCGAAAGTAATCAAGATTTTTGGGTTATAAACATGCATTTCAAGTTTCATCAAAATCTTATGAAAATTCTGACCTCTACATGTAGAGTGTCCACAAGCTAAAAACGTGATTTTCGTACAATTAGGGGCCATAATCCATGAAGTTATGATCCGATAAATGCCAATATCGAAAGGAACCAACATCTTTGGGAGATAGACCTATATTTCAAGCTTTGTCAAAATAGGATAAAAATTGTGACCTGTATAGTGTCCACAAACAATTGTGGAGAGAGAGAGAGAGTTCAAACATCCACTCGACACTAACTAGGTCATTTCCGGACTAACATATGGTTCAAATTAATTTCAATAATTCGCTTGCGCGTCGGAGAATTTATATTTACCTAGATATATGAACATATGAACATAACCAAACCACGTGCCACATGATTTTCATTTCAACATACAACTTACCTGCTACTCAGTGACACATTCAACTCTAAAGCTTTAATTCGATTGGTTAATCTCATAATGGCTGTTTCTCTTTTCGCTATTGAGCCTAGCGGTACTTTCACCAAGTCTAGATCTTTGGGTTTTTTCAATTCTTTGTCTGTTACTTCCAGCACTTTTTCACCTACTCCTACCACTGGTTTAACAATCGGGGTTGCTGGCTCAACAACCTTGTGACTGGACATAACAGTCTCTGTTTTAGATACTTCTATTGTTGGTGATATTGCATCTGGAAAGAGCTGACTAGTTGTGGGCTCTAAAATATCACTGGTTGCTTTAGACTCCATTTTTGTTTGTTCCACAATGTCCAAACCTTCCAAGGTAGTTTTAGTGATATCCAAAACTTTTGTCTTTGTCTCAGTTTCTTCAACTTTCTGTGCTCCGATATCTGTGCTACTTGGTTCTAGAGTAATTGGAGTTGTTTCCCCTTGGTCAGATGTCTGAGATACAGATAGATCAAGACTTGTATGATCATTCACCACAGGACTTTCAGAATGTGTAGCAATATCCTCAGTTAGAATAGAGGAAGGTGTTTTATCTGATGGCCGACTTGATTCAATTGATGACATAGTTTGTGTAGAACCATCTTCCGCTGCAACAGTTTGCATGGATTCGAAAAGTTCTGATTGTGATTCTGGTGTTTCGACAAACCTATCCAAATTCGATTCGATTGACCCCTCTTTCAAACTAGTGACAATTCGTTCAAAAGGTTTATCTGTGGTAACCATGTCAACCTGTGTTGTCTGTTCATCTGATAGAGAACTTACGATATTATCATCTTTCAAACAGACTGGTGTAGCAGATGATCTCAGCATTAGCATTGTGTTGATATAAGAACAAAGCAGTTTATGCGATGAAGTAGTTGGTGTAACATTAAAGCATTGATGTATGTCTAACATGACATTATCTATATGACTACTTGGTATCTGTTCGTCATCATCCAACTTGGTTACAATTGGCACGTCAACAGTCTCCGAACCTGTGGCAACTAAACATAATAACACTAAATTACACATAACTGATAAAAAAATACTGACCAAGAAATTAAAATTCAGAAAATGGAATGATTCAAATCATTTTTCAGTATAATCTTAATTACTGAACGGCATTAAATTGAAAGTTTGTAATCACTCAATTAGCGATCATTAGTGTAAATACAGGAATATCACAGGACAAAGCAAGAACCAATGAATGGGAAAATATCTTCACCAATCACTATATCCATTACTAGGACTAAAGAAACAGAAATTTATACATTTGGTTTGTTCTTTAAATATCTGACTGGCAAAAGGTCTGAACCCTGTACATTTTGTTATGAGTGGAAATTATATTAGCTTACACAGATATGACAACATCCTTTGATGTTGGCATACCATTATTTCAAATAATGGTATGGGCAACATGCAACCGTACATTACATAATAATAGATAGAATATTGGACTCGCTTGACGATTTCATTGAAATGCACATGCAGGGTAATGTCTGTATTTTAAGTTGTTTAATAGTCTCAAGCAAAACATTGCATAATATATTTAAACAGTATTGTAACATGGATGGAAAATCTTCCTTTGTTCTTTTTGTTTAATAAGCAGATTGTTTTTCTTCTGGTAGAGTGGTTGGAACTCAACCGTGCAATAACTAGACATTTTCAATGTTATTGCACACTGCTTGTTTACGGCAGTTTTAGTAGAAATCATAGAGAGAAGTGAAGTGGGTTTTCTGAGCAATAACATCGAGCATGTTGAGTAGGTGTCAACGATACAAGTCATTTATATCCTACGGCCTCTTTGATGAAACCTGTTAACTCATGTGAACCATGCTATAAATATATTACTTAAAGCTACATTATGTAACATTTAGATAAGAGCTGACCATTCTTGCTATAATAGCTCAAACATAAATAATGTAGAATGAAAATATTGAAAATTTCATTCAAATCAATTCATTCTGAGCCAAGATATCACTGTTGTAGTATTGACAAGATGTGTGCATTGTGGTAACCAGGGCACTGGTATATTCGAGACTTGCTTTCCCATTTTTAAATTAAATTTTTAAATGGAGAACCGCTCTAATCTAGTTAAAATCTCGAGTATTCGATGCCATCAAGAGTTAATTATGGTCTTGTTTTGGTAATAAATGTCTAATTAATAGTTTATATAACATTTCAGGCTGAAAGATCTGCAATAGGTAGATTTAGCTCTTGCATAATGTATGTTTAATGTCTAGCTCACGTCAATTAAGCCACAGAGCATGTCGGCAAATTCTACAATAAACAAGACAACAGTGAAGCTGATATCACCGACCTCTACCCAAAAATATATCAATGACAACCATGACAATTCAAACTGCTTATCATCAAAGTATAAGATTTAAACAATAAAACAAAAGTAATGTCTTCAGAATACATTTTATATAATAACAACCTATTATATACTCTTCAAAAAAAGTAGGGGATATTCAGAAACAATTCCAAACTGCAGAAATGGATAAATAAACCAGCACGCTGCTGTTTTCATCAACCCTTCCTTGAAGTGTCAGATTTGACAATGAACCCTCCCACGTGTATGGCGCTATTGTGTGTCGCATGTGCAGCTCAGTGGTTCTGTTGGAGCGATAAGTTTTTCATCTGTGAACATACTCTCAAAGCATGTCAAATGTCCATGACTATTTATCATATCGCAACCTGCATAGATATTTGCATTTCAATATCCCCTACATTTTGTGAAGAGTATATAATAGATAAGCCTATCTGGTCTAATCAACAAATATGAAATGTCTATAAAGAGAAGACAGAATATGTCTTGTTGTTTTCTTTAAATGGCCTTTTAATACCTGTTGTTTCTTTTATAGTAGGTGTAGGAACTAAAACAGTTGGTAATTCATCTTCACTCCCCGACAAACTACAATAAAATTACTACAATAAATTACATACATCACATAGAAATAAAACTACCACTAATTTTAAACCATTTTAATACCAATTAAAACCGAATTTACTTCAATTTTGAACTATGACAATTATTTTCTTGGTAATTTAAATATATTCCTGAAAACAAAGCAATATCATTTTATCCACATTGCCTGAGGAATATCTTTTTTAATAAGACATCATCACTATCAATAAGAAAATAAATGTAATTAAAGACATTGACCCCTGGATCCATTTACTTGATTTGATATATACTTTTGTTATTTACTATTGTCGGGGGGTTGGATGGCTGAATGGTTAGCGTGCACGCGCTGTATCATAAAGTCTGTCATTGAGTCGACTGGCGTGGTTTCGAATCCCTGGTTGTACGTGACAAGGAGTAGGGTCGCCTGTCCAACCTCGTGGGTTTTCTCCGGTTCCCCGGTTTCCTCCCACTGCTAAAGACCCCTACGTGCAAGCGAATTATTGAAATAAAATTAAAAACCATATGTAAGTCCCGAAATGACCTAGTTTGTGTCGAGTGGACGTTAAACCCCATTTCTCTCTCTCTCTATTTACTATTGTCAATAAATATCTACAGGTTTATTGTGTTTCTTGTCCTTGGGTTTGTCTTATGGGTGTTTGTTTATGTGTGGTGCTGTCCTCCTGCACTTTCTATTAAAGTAAAGCATCTACTAATTTACTTGAAAACCTCTATAAGTAGTATAAGCTGTTTTGTTACCTACTCACATTAAATCTTACAACACTATCTGTTAATTAGGCTAGTCATCTTCTTGAGGGCGTTGACTAGTCTAAGATACGCACTAACTTTTCAACACCAATCTCATTTACACTTTCAACACTTTGTAAAATAAGCCAGAGGACACATAATTCAGTCCGACTATTTGTTGTGTAATAATGGAGACACAAGCGGAAAGAAAAAAACTATTTATAGCAAACAAGTAAGTTTCCTTGACCCAGATCAGTTCTTGAATAAATTATGTTGTACACACTGTTCACGTCATCCGCAGTAAACAATCATGGCCGCCTCCAGCAGCAGTTTCACTCTGGATCATTGACGTCTATCTATATATATGACGTTAGAAGGAATTTGCTCCAAGACGCGATTATCCAGGTCTACCATTTACCACCACTGGAATACGGCTGAATTTCATTTTTTGATGGTCGGAGACTACCATTTTTCAATGTATAAGATAGGTTGCCAGGCAACGAAACCTACGCCCACAGCAGCTAAATCGTCCGAGCAGTCGGTTGTTGTTGCATATTTATTCTTTTGCAGGTAATGGGGGCATTTACAAGACAATTTCATACAGATCAGATTACAATTTCCATCATTTGAGGGTTCACAAGGGTGTACATACTGAAACAAGAGCATTAATTCTAGAAGCAATTAACGAAAATTGCAGAAATTCAATAGGTTTCTTTGCTTCACTAATTTAAATGATGCATATAGAGTTCATACAGATCGGATGATAACTTTTGGTGTTAGAGCGTTTCCAATGTTAAATAAAGTGAAACAAGGGCTACAACTTGAGAAGTTATAAACGGAAATTGCTGAAATTCATACTGATCTGAGATAATTTATATCGTTAAAGCATTCACAAGGTTCAACAAAGGCTTCTTCGTTTCAGTAATTTAAATGATACATATAAATTTCACACATATCGGATGATAACTTTCATCAATCGAGCATTAACAAGGTTTAACAAAGTGAAACAAGGGCCATAACTCTAGACATAATTAATGGAAATTGCTGAAATTCAACAGGCTTCTTCATTCACTAATTTAAAGGAGCTAAATCGCTAATATTTGGGACCTAGAAATTGACACAAATGGGTCGCAACGCATACAATAATGTAATACGAATGTATATAATCTGATTTACATTCAATCGTTTCTGTTCCTAATCAGTTATGTTCGGCGAAATACGACAGAAGTCTCAATTGAATGACAACCTTTAGCGTACGGTTATTCCAGTCTACACCGATGGTATCTATTGCGCATGTTTCCTGATAAGAATATTACGTCACCGTTTGACATCACTTGTGGAATATGTCTTGCCTCGTTCTTTGAGCCCCTTGATCCAAATGGCACTGACGTGCATTATGGTACACGATTCGTAAAATGTTTATTTTGTCTTTAATATTGGACATCAGAAGCCCATCTTTTCCCTGTAAGATCACAAGACCAATGTTGATTTGAATTGACAAATAATTCGTGTTTTCAATGTCGAAGATTTTTGATGATAATGAGTTAGAGACTTAGCTACTTTTAGTGATGCATGTAAATTTCACACAGATAAGATGATAACTTTTGGAGTTAAGAGCATTCACAAGGTTGAAACAAGGGCTACAATTTGAGAAGTTATAAATGGAAATTGCTGAAATTCACTAATCTAAATGATACATATAAATTTCATACAGATCGGATGATAACTTTTGTGGTTAGGGTGTTCACAAGGTGCAACAAAGTGAAACAAGGGCCATAACTCCAGAAGAAATTAACGAAAAATATTCAAATTAAATTTGCTTTATCATCTCAATAAAGTAGACAACATAATATATCAATTTTAAAACAATCAGATTATAAATGTAGTCTGTAGAGTGTTCACAAGAAGTTATAGATGACGGACGGAATGGGCGACGGCAATAAACGACCACATTTCCATATAAAAATTATTTTGAGAGCGCAGGAGTAGTGCACTGACGTAAATATTTACTGCTTGCATCCAAATTGTTGTATTTTAAAACTTGTTGAGGATGTATTCAAAGAATTTACCGGAAATCACAAAAATCTTTTATGAAGGTAACTAATCAACAAAGATTTTAAAATACTTTGAGTTGATATTTTATGACATTTTTGGTGTCAAAATGTAGCTGATAACCTCTACTTTTGATCCGCAGGGCAGATTATCGATATCTCTTTTTAGCATATATACTAATAGAATTTCCAAGAAAACGCATCGTTTTTTGGTGTTTCCATGGATACCAGACCACCCACAGCATATAGCCAAAAGTTGTTCCGTAGCTTTTTTGGAATTGCAGTTAGCATTGTTCATGCCAAATCTGATGAAAATTCATGCAGGCATAACTGAGAAAATTTGACTTTTGTTGTCATCAGCAACCTTTATTATCATGCTTTTGGGCCAAGTTTGGAACATAGTATAAAATTGGTGATTAAAATGTAGTTTATCACCCCAAATAACAAAAAATTTCATGTCTTATGAACAAAACTTACAGTGCTAGCTTTAAAATGTGCATTTTAGACTGCTCAAAGTCCTTAAGTATATTTTATTTACAGTCAATAAAAACATCTCACATGATGTATTATGAATAGTGATGGGCCAATATGGCTACTATTGGTTTTACTGATATCAGATACTTGACAGCGAAATATATTGGCCGATACAATTACCAATAGTTGTGGATATAAAACTATTACACATTGTCTCTAATATCATGATAATCGATGTAGATACATGTCATTGTTAGTCAGGAAATGCCAGGTACTATTTTACCTCGGGAATCAAACAGGGATGCAATGTTTTTTTAAGGGGTTTAACGTCCTACTGCTCTGTTCCGACTGGGCTTATGAAGAAGGGCATACGCCATACAGTGATATGAGGGAAATTAATGTACCAAATCGTACCAAGTGTCAAGCAAATTAATGATTTAATTGTTCACAACTCCAATGATATTTTAGGGTCATTTACCGAGCCCTTTTGAACAGATAGCAGCGACTCCAGTATCGGTCAATACCCATTTCTTCTGATAGGCCACTTATTGATGTTGAAACAGATTATCGGATCATCACTAATTATGAAGACAAACGATGTGACACATACGAAGGTTAAAACTAAGAGTGACTGCAGCGTTAATACATTGATCTACATAATCAATAGGATTTCCCCCCCTTCCTGTTGGTTCCGCTGTATTGGTTTAGTTCTAAATGACCCCCTAATCAAAGGTGTTAAGTTTTAATTGTTATTTTTGCTGCATATTCTTTATATATACTCTTCAAAAAAAGAGTAGGGGATATTCATATACAATACAAAACTGCGGAAATGCACTGCTGTTTTTATTAGAGGTAACCAGTGTATGTTAATAACAGGCCAAGTGCCTACACATGAACATAAACAGTTCATATGGGCAGTTTATCTGACGGCCCCATTTCACTCGTAAAGAGATACACCTTCAAAAGTTTTTGATTTTTGTCCTGATAATGAGTAATTGCTCCACCATTCCTCAGACATTCAGCAATTTGTCGGGGTATGCTCCTAATCAACCGTTCAATCATGATTTGGGGAAATCTGACCCTCTCCTCTTGCAGTGCCACAGCCAATTCTTGCAGTGTTGTCTTCTGATCAAATTAAACATAACACACATAATAAATAAAATGCAAAGATATGCAAGAACCGATAGGAATGCTAACATGGATAGATAAACCAGAATGCAGCAGTTTTCATCAACCCTTTCTTGACGTGTCAAATTTAACAATGAACCCCTCCCAAATGCGTGTCGCATGTGCAGCTCAGTGGTTCTGTTGGGGCGATAAGTTCTTCATCTGTGAACATATTCTCAAAGCATGTCAAGTGTCCATGACTATTTATCATATCACAACCTGCATAGGTATTTGCATTTCAATATCCCCTACTTTTTTTTGAAGAGTATATTTGTCTACTATTCATATATCTGTATCATTTGCTTCATAAAGACGAGAGTATCCTCGTAGAAACATTGCTTAGTATTAAACTCAATAATCGTGTATCCATGAAATTGTACCTTATGTTAAGATGAATTTGGCCCTGGAAACTGACACCTTAAATATTGGCCCCCTAGGTTTGAGAAAAGGTGAATGTGGGTGCTATGTACGAGGGCTGGCTGAAAAGTTCTAAGCCTATCTGTGAAAGACCTGTACAAAGTCGATGGTTTCCATTTATTTTTCTACATAGTCCTCTTTGAGGTGTACACACTTTTGCCAATGATGTTGCAAGGTCTGGATGCCGGTCAGGAAGAAATTTTCTTCAGCCACCCTAAAAAGTCATCACCATTAATAGGAAAATGAAGACCGGCTAGTTCCATTTTGGAAACAGTTCTCATCCATGGTTACAAATCTGGCCAAAAATTATCAGGATCTGCTTCAAACTGGCGCAGATTGTCACAGGATGTCAGGAATCTGACACATTTCTGATCCACAGTCAAGAGCTTTTGCACCCCTCATGAGCGATGCCCACAACACTGGCAATATGTGGAGTTGTCAATCTTCAATCAGTCACCACCATGTCATGCACCCGGTTAATGTTTTCTTGAATGGCTGCTGTTGATGGCCTTCCAGGATACAGGTCATCGTCAAGGCTGTCTCTGCTGTGCTTAAATTTTGCAGCCCACTTCTTTATTGTGGAAAAGGAAGGGGCATCATCCCCTAAAGTTGCAGGTACTTGATGACTGCCCTATAGCCAGTTCTGTTGATTTCAATGGGTAGGTTCACAAGATGGTTTGGTACGAAGACAATAATAACACTACAGATGCAGTTATGTCTATGATTCATTTGTTTCGATGATTGTACTTTTTGGCGGCAAAAGTCTGATTCAATCTGGTCATAATACTGGAACGCTGTTTTATGTCTATCCCGTCTCTTATGAAACTGCAACAGGCTTATTAGCTTTAAAAAGGTTTGCAGTGTGCGGCGCTGTCCTCCAAGTTTCATTGCAAAACTTGAACATGATGCAATCAGTATATTAAAGATAGGTTGCCAGGCAACGAAACATACACTCACAGCAGCTAAATCGTCTGAGCGGTCGACAAGGGTTGTCGCATATTTATTCCTTTGTAGGTAATTCGGGGCCTTTACAAGACAGTTCCATACAGATCAGATTATAAATTTTTTCGTTTGAGGGTTACAAGGGTCTCAACTCTGGAAACCAGCGGCTGCCAGGCAGGATACGCCCACATTTTCGAGAGATGGATAGAAAACAAGCTAAAACGAAAGTGATTTTTCCTACAACCAAGAGCCATAATTCAGGAAATTACAAGTCGATAAGCACAAATATCGAAAGGAACCAAGATCTTTGAGTTATAAACTTACATTTCAAGTTTCAACAAAATCGGATAAAAATTGTAACCTCTATAGGATCCACAACCTTGATATACGATATTTTCACGTAATTTGAGAACGAAGGGCGGCCTTTTTATCTGACAGTTTTTGGCCGATTTTCACGAAATTCGAACTCAGTCGTCCTTAGGGTGTTACGGTGATACAATAATATGATTTTTTTAAATCGGATAATAATTATGACCTCTATAGGGTCCACAAGCTAAAAACACGATTTTTCGTACAATCAGGGGCCATAATTCAGGAAGTTACCGTTAGATATGCGCGAATATCAAAAGGAACCGAGATCTTTGGGTTATAAACTTACATTTCAAGTTTCAACAAAATCGGTTAAAAATTGTGACCTCTATAGGGTCCACAACCTTGATATACCATATTTTTACGCTATTTGAGAACGAACGGCGGCCATTTTGTCTGTCAGTTTTGCGCCGATTTTCACGAAATTCGAACTCAACTGTCCCTAGGGTTCAACGGTGATATTATAAAACGTTTTTTTAAATCGGATAAAAATTATGACCTCTATAGGGTCCACAAGCTAAAAACGCGATTTGTCATACAATAAGGGGCCATAATTCATGAAGTTACGGTCCGATATGCGCAAATATCGAAAGGAACTGAGATCTTTGTGTTATAAACTTACATTTCAACTTTCAACAAAATCGGATAAAAATTGTGACCTCTATAGGGTCCACAACCTTGATATACCATATTTTTACGCTATTTGAGAAGGAAGGGCGGCCAATTTGTCTGTCAGTTTTGGGCCGATTTTCACGAAATTCAAACTCAGCCATGCTTAGGGTGTAACGATGATATATTAACACGGTTTTTGAAATCAGATAAAAATTATGACCTCTATTGGGTCCACAAGCCCAAAAACGCATTTTTGCGTACAATCAGGGGCCATAATTCATGAAGTTACGGTCAGATATGCGCGAATATCGAAAGGAACCGAGATCTTTGTGTTATAAACTTACATTTCAAGTTTCAATAAAATCGGATTAAAATTGTGACCTCTATAGGGTCCACAACCTTGATGTACCATATTTTTACACTATTTGAGAACGAACGGCGTCCATTTTGTCTGTCAGTTTTCGGCCGATTTTCACGAAATTCGAACTCAACCGTCCTTAGGGTTTAACGTTGATATAATAATAGTTTTTTTTTAAATCGGATAAAAATTATGACCTCTATAGGGTCAACAAGCCAAAAAACGCGTTTTTACGTACAATCAGGGGCCATAATTCAGGAAGTTACGGTCCGATATGCGCGAATATCGAAAGGACCCGAGATCTTTGGGTTATAAACTTACATTTCAAGTTTCAACAAAATCGGATAAAAATTGTGACCTGTATGTCCACAAACAAATTTGTGTACAGGAGTATAAGGCGCGTCTGGCACGGCCATTTTTCCCAGCAGTTTTGGTTCGAATTTCGAGCGAAATTCCAACTCAACCAAATTAACGGTGTTATGTTCGACTGTTTTTTTAAATCGGATAATTCGGTTAATAATTGTGACCTCTGGAGGAACCACAAGCCAAAAACGTGATTTTTCGTACAATCAGGGGCCATAATCCATGAAGTTACGGTCCGATAGATGCCAATTTCGAAAGGAACCGAGATCTTAGGGTGATAAACCTATATTTCAAGTTTCATTAAAATCGGATAAAAATTGTGACCTGTAGACTGTTCATAAACAACTGTGGACGGACGGACGGACGGACGGACAGGGGCGACGACAATATACGTCCACATGAAAATGTGGGCGTATAAAAATCTACAGAAATTTGACAGTCTTTTTCGTTTTACTAATTTAAATAATGCATATAAATTTCATACAGATCACATCACTTTTGTCATTCAAATGTTCACAAGGTTCACAATCGCCATAACTCTAGAAATTATATACGGAAATTGCTGAAATTCAATAGACCTCTGTTTCACAAATTTAAATGATGCATATAAATTTCATACATATCGGATGATAACTTTCATCAATCGAGCATTAACAAGGTTTAACAAAGTGAAACAAGGGTCATAACTCGAAAAGTAATTATTGTAAATTGCTGAAATTAAATAGGCTTCTTCTTTTCACTAATTTAAATCATGCAAATAAATTCCACAAAGATTGGGTGATAACTTTTGGCGTTAACAGTGTTCACAAGGTTCAATAAAGTAAAAGATCAGGTGATAAATTTTGGCACTAAAGCATTCACAAGGTTCAATAAAGTGTAACAAGGGCCATAACTCTAGATGTAATAAACAGAAATTGCTGAAATTCAATAGGCTTCTTTGTTTCACTAACTTAATTATTGCATATAAATTTCACCAAGATCGGATGTTAACTTTTGTCATTAGAGCGTTCACAAGATTCAACAAAGTGAAACAATGTCATAACTCTCGATGTAATTAACAGAAATTGCTGAAATTCAATAGGCTTCTTTGTTTTACTAACTTAAATGATGCATATAAATTTCATACAGATCGATTGATAACTTTTGTCGTTAGAGCGTTCACAATGTGCAACAAAGTGAAACAAGGGCCATAACTACAGAAGAAATTAACGGAAGTTATTGAAATTAATCTCACTACTGCAAACAACATCAGATGATAAATGTAGTCTGTAGAGTGTTCACAAGAAATTGTGGACGGACGGGGGCGACAGCAATATACGACCACATTTCCACGTGGGCGTATAAAAATGGTCTTGTGAAGATCAATGTATTTAACACTATTAATGGGAAACCAATTAATCTGACCCATAGACAGACAATAATTTAAAGAGAAAGTGTGTAAGGGGGGTTATGATCTGTGGAGTGTACACTTTCATTTAAAATTAGTTTCAACTGGTACCTCGCATGCATGAATATAACCATTCAAGCCGCGGGGTGGCCATATTTAGGAAGTCAGTTTGGGTCATCCCAGGGCCACAATCATCTGTTATGGGCAATTTCGTACTCAGTGGTTTTGACTGGTACCTCGTATGTATGAGTATAACCCATATGGTCAAATCACAACAAATTGAAAATTATTTTTTACTGTTCGCAAAGATCTCCAACTTTCCAATGCTTCTTTAAAAACATATTTTACTTATTTTACTTCACTTTTAGTCTATACTCCTATCATAGTTAAGTTTTCAGGTTACATTGGATGACTTAATTAAACCCGGGGGAATATCACTCTTATTTCAGGATACATGTCCATTACCACAAATCTTTTGTGATAAACCTAAACTAACATTGCTACCAAAACTAACACTTAGTAGCTGACAAATTTCAGCCTTATATTCATGTTTTTATAAAGCAAGAGTCCCTAACTGTGTAGCACCCTGCTGTCCTTTTATACTAACACTGTCGGTTAAAGATCTCTATGTTAATTGTTACAGTAAAATAACTTACATGACAGGAACACATGGTAAAATAGTACCATCAGCGGATAGATTTTTATTCGAATCAACATGAAGACCAGTTATATTATTATCTTGATCCAAATCTTTTTTCGTACCATCGTCAACGTTTAAAACTTTCTTTACTAGATTAACTACTGTGTCTAGAAAATAATCATTAGTAGTTTTGAGTGGCCATTTCAGGTGTGAGCTAGGCTTTAAATATAATAATAATAATTTCTCTTTACATTTTCCTGTGCTTGAGTACCACCCAAGCAACATTTACCAAATTTGGTTCAACTCCTTTAAGTGATTTAGTTGTCAAAAATGTGTGTGAAAATGTCTAAATTTGTCCAGTGTTCTTGCCCACGCCCATCGTACAGATCAACTTCAAACCAGAGCAATATACTTACAAAATTTTTTGTAAATCTGTCTTACAAGTCTTTAAGGTATTCTCACCCCACCACATGTGGTTGAGCATTTTAACAAATTTGAATAAGCATCTCCCAGGAAACATACCAATCAAATGTGGTTTAAGATAAGAAGTTGTAAATGTCTAAATCTTGCGTTGGTGCAATAGGTAATTAAAACCATTCTGATTGACTCAATAATTGTGAAGCGTTTTCAGACTGTTCACTATTAAAGATTTCTGCTCAGTGAAATAATACCTAGGATCACATATAGTCCAAAACTTATCATCAAGGCTGCAATTTTGCACAATTAAGGAGAATAGCAACCTACCTGCTAGGCAAAAGATGCTAGAGGAAATCTCAATGATGAAACAACTTACCTTTAGCACTCATAAATAAATTTCTTGCCCCATCTTTATTTTCCTCTTCATCATTTTCTACTAATTTACCTAAAATAAACAGATTTTAAACTTAAAAATACCTGTAATTACCTAGTAGGACCAATTAACAGATCGCTCATAAATAGCTCCCAACATCAATCATTCTCAAAAAAATAAATAGAGCCCAACACAGACCTATCAACACTACCGCATTTTCAAACAAAGAGTTTTTTAATTTTCTCGTCAAAACTATGGAACTAAGGCAAGCAACTCTTTGCATGTAAAAAATAAAGACCGCGACTTTCAGTTATCAACATCGATTTGGGATATTGTAAGGTGTAATTTAGCTAAGAGATTTGTTCTCAAATTCTTTTCAATCTATTTAAGAGTTAATAAAGCGGATACAATTATTAGCAAGTGTTCCAAATACTCTTAAAATGCGTAGCGATAAACTAAACAAATAGCAACCAATTTTTGGGAGCAATGGCTGACATTTTCGTTTGCGCGTGTACGTACAGCATCTAATACAATACTTCGAATGCAACACAACCTGGAACTTTAATTTCAAGATGGGAATGCGTCTCGTAGATTCTGACTTACATGGAACACTCTCTCGATTAAATGTAAAAGCAGATTTAGGAATCACGGGAGAAAAAAATCCAGTGCATGGAGAAGATAATCGCCATGGGGGGCATGATTAAATCGATACCAATAATTTTTTACGCCCTCCCCCTTTCTATTCCAAATGTAGAAATACTATAGAATCTAATAAGCACACGAATTATGTTACATGAAACAATATTGACAAAAACTCTCGGAATGGGGAACACACTACACAAGGATATTTCTAAAATCAAAAGTGGTACTGCCAGTACTATTGGACTGGTAATTTTAATTTTTTTTACGTTACCATACTAATTATTTCTTTCTGTAGGCTACATATTCAATTTTGGTTTAATTACATAAATAATTTTAGATATGGTTACCATTGCTTGTGTATATTTTATCTATAACCCATTTAATGCAATTTTTGTATTGTTGGGCCAATGGGCCTGCACCCTGCAGTTCAGTGTATCATTTCTTAATTAATTACCATTGGAAGTGCAAATTTATGTGTTTTTGGAAATTTACTGCCAAATCATGGTTTCTACTGTATTTTTTTACACTACCCTACTGCCTTTAAGCTCTGAGGGGTTGACGGGTCTGGCTCAACATTAAATCAATCTTCAAACTGAGGCTAAAGTATGTTTTATTAGTAAGTGCAGGAGAACCACACTAATATTCCTATTAGAGATTCACTTATTACAAGATTGTAGTTCACTAGAAATTCCTAAATTGCTCTATTCAAGTTCAGAGACATTATGTAAAACACAGAAATTAAATTTTTGTTTGTTTTGTTTTTTATTGTTTAACGAACCTGATTCTATATCTGTTTCTGTTTGTAAATTCTGTTCATCATTATCATTCTCATCATCATCTGCTATAGGTAAACCATATAATCTACAATAAATAAAATAAAATCTCAGTCTAGAACAGTGTTGCTATTTCAAAATTTTTCCTATCAGACATTTTTACAGAAAAGAAAGGGGCATAACTTTTATCGTTATTTATGCAGACGGATTCAGGACACAATTAAAAATCATGTGTCAACAAAATATTCAAATTCATACGTAATAAAAAATGTGCCGTATTCAAATTTATGTCAGTAAATTATGTGTTGTTGTAATCTGATAGAATGAATGCATGCCGACTACTGCCGATCGACCCGTACCTGTTTCAAATTCACGCACCTAAAAAATAGGTGCACCTCATCATTTTTCATATTTCCCATGCGGTATTCAATTTATGTCAGTAATATTCCTACAAAAATTATGTGTTGTCGTAATACGATAGAATGAAAACGTGCCGACTACTGCTGACCCATACCTGTTTCAGATTATTTTGGCAGTAACTGTCGCTCTACAACGCCGAGCAAGTGACAAAATAGCACATGCTATCGTCTAAAACAATTATCTATTTACACCATTCCAATCCTATTTACACTATTCCAATCGAAATATTTGTCGATGTTTCTTTATTTAAAAACATCAACCTCATTCAAAATATTAACATAAATCTGTGAATATGTCACTGAAATAGAATCCTTTCTCCGACATCAGTCTTCTCGAAATTGTCAAGTTTCCATTGTCACGTTTCCAATAGCTTTATTTAACGTATGTTACAAGTCTATGACCAGTATATAAACTGTACAGATGTGTTACAAGTATTTTAAGTCTATGACCAGTATATAAACTGTACAGATGTGTTACAAGTCTATGACCAGTTTATAAACTGTACAGATGTGTTACAAGTCTATGACCAGTATATAAACTGTACAGATGTGTTACAAGTCTATGACCAGTTTATAAACTGTACAGATGTGTTACAAGTCTATGACCAGTATATAAACTGTACAGATGTGTTACAAGTCTATGACCAGTATATAAACTCAATTAAACTGTACAGATGTGTTACAAGTCTATGACCAGTATATAAACTGTACAGATGTGTTACAAGTATATAAACTGTACAGATGTGTTAAGTAGCTACATAAACTATAACTTTTGTAGGATGTAATGTTTACATTCTCAGCTTCAAATACAATTTTAGGGAAGTGATCATCTCTAAGTACATTTTATAAGAATAATGTTTGTACTTGAAATATAATATTTTGTACAAACCTGAATAAGGTGATAGGACAGAAATGTTCGTTTCCGTAATGTTCAATCATTTCAACTTTAATATATTTAACAAACTGATCGTTAGTTGTATGAAATGTCTGTATAACACGTTCATCTTTAGCTTCATATACACCTAATGACTGCCATTCTTTTGCCGGATATCTGAAACAATATCAAACAAATATAAAGAAAATATTACAAATAGGAGGAATAAATGTAAAATTACAAAGAATTATTAGACTGAGGTCAAAGAAATATAAAATAGTATCTTTTCTGCAAGTGTTCTAATCTATTTTTGAATAACATTAGAACAAACATAAATTATTACTCTAAAATGCAAATTTTAAAGCTAGCACTGTGAGTTTTGTTCATAGGATATGACATTTTTTTATTATTTGGGGTAATAAACTACATATCAATCACCAAAAAAATACCAATTCTATTTACTATGTTCTCAAAAGCATGATAATAAAAGGTGCTGATGACAATAATAGTCAAACTTTCACAGTTATGCCTGCATGGGTTTTCATCAAATTTGGCATGAACAATGCTAAATGTAAATTTGTAAGTTCAAGAAACGTAAGGGAGACTTCTAGGCTATAGACCGTGGGTTGTCTGGTATCCATGGAAACGGCAAAAAATTATGAGTTTTCTTGGAAATTCTAATAGAGATATTAATAAGTCTTCCCTTAGATCAGAAGCAGAGGTTATAAGCAATATTTCAACACCAAAAACGTTAAAAAAAATATCTACTCAAAGTATTTTAAAATCTTTGTTCGTTATAATTTCAAATGAGATTTTCGGTCAATTCTTTGAATACGTCCACAACAAGTTTTAAAACACAACAATTCAGTTGTAAAAAGTAAATATTTACTTCAGAGCAATACTCCACCGTTATCGAAATTTAAATATGGGTTGCCAGGCAACGAAACTTATACCCACAGCAGCTAAGACATCCGGGGAGTCAACAAGGGTTGTCACATATTTTTTTTCTTTTGTCAGAAATGAAAACATTTACAACACACGAAAATCTGATTATGAGTAACAACCCATTTGGCTTCAAGTTCTGCCCTATTCTAACATTTAATATCAATTGCTATAATCACCGGAAATCGTTGATAGGCTTCTTCGTCTCATGACCTTAAACACTGTATTAAATATAAGTCAATCGGATATTAACTTTAGCATCTAAAGTATAAACAAGATTTTTCAAAGTGATCAAGGGACATAACTATGGCAGTAATTATCACTGAAAATCAATAGGCTTCTTTGACTGATGATCTTGCTTAAACACTGTGTAAATTGTTGAAAATCAATAGGCTTCTTCATTGCATGACCTTAAACACTCTGTATAAATTTAAAGTCAATTGCATATTAATTTTAGCTTCTAAAGTGACCAAGGGCAATGACTCTGGCAGTAATTGTCAGATATTAACTTTAGCCTTTAGAGCATCAACAAGATATTTTAAATTGATTAAGGGCCATAACTCCTGCAGTAATTATCGGAAATTGTTGAAAATCAATAGGGTTCTTCATCTCATGATCTTAACTGTGTATAAATTTAAAGTCAATTGGTTATTAACTTTAGCCTCTTGAGCATCCACAAGCAATTCTGGACGACGGAAAAAAAGTTAAATTAAATGACGTATATTTAGCTCACTGAAACCAAATATCTTGAATTAATCACCTTCAATATCCATTAATATCTAAGAGAAGAGATATTTTATCTACATTTGACAGCATAAAAAAATATACAAAGATTACAAAAATGAGTCAATAAATTTCAATCGCTTATAATTTTATAATTCACAATCAAAAATGCTGTGTAGCTAAAACAATGAGAGGATTTTTTTTGATAATCTAATGATCTTTTCTTCAAGAAACCAGAGTTTTAATCTGGAAAAACTAAATATCTTTGGGAAGACTATCTAGTAACTACTCTAGTCTCAGATTATACATATGCTAACAGTCACTTCAGATTTTTTTTAGTGAAATGAACTGGAAATGATGACGTCAGGCACAAGTAACATGAAATCTGACATTTTTAACTTTGAGACATGTATAAAAAAAACCCTCACAAATAAGACAAATCTGTGGGAAACAATTCTTTCCAGGCTTGGAATCAAACCTGTAAGTTTTCCTCTTACTAGTCTTACTTGCTTGCTTTAATTTCAGCTTTCTAATTTCAATGACTAAAAGACCCAATATGCCAGAATAAAAGTTAACCAGCAGCTGCCAGGCAGGATACACCCACATTTTTCAAAAAGAGGATAGTGAACAAGCTAAACAAAAAGCGATTTTTCGTAACATCAAGGGCCATAATTCAGTAAGGTATGATCAGATATGTGCAAATATCGACAGGAACCAAGATCTTTGGGTTATAAACATGCATTTCAAGTTTCATTAAAATCGGATCAAAATTGTGACCTCTTGATATACCACAACCTTGATATACCAGATGTTTACACTATTTGCGTAGTGGGGCAGCCATTTTGTCTGGCAGTTTTGGTCTGATCTTCATGAAATTCGAACGCAGATAAAAATTGTGACCTGTAGAGCGTCCCCAAACAGTTGTGGACATCCGGATGGACAGGGGCGACGACAATATACGTCCACATGAAAATGTGGGCGTATAAAAATAGCACGTAAGAAGACCCTACTTTTATCCAAGGCCATAAAAAAAATATTTTGGTTCTCAGATAATCCCCCGCTTGACACATCTTTATTTTTAAAAAGAAAGTCAATAATTTCCGCTCATCCATATTTCCCGCGATCAAAGAAAATAACTCTATTGAAGGTTTCTTGACAACAGGAAAGGAACACTATACTACTAGTACTAATGGTTGCCAAAATATCCAGCGGCTGCCAGGCAGGATACACCCACATTTTGCAAGAGATGGATAGAGAACAAGCTACACAAAAAGCAATTTTTCGTACAATCAAGGGCCATAATTCTGAAAGTTACGATCTGATATGCGCAAATATCGACAGGAACCAAGATCTTTGGGTTATAAAGATATATTTCAAGTTTCATCAAAATTGGATCAAAATTGTAACTTTTAGAGGGTCCACAACCTTGATATACCATATACATACACAGGCCATGAAATTTCAAATTTTTGCATAACCAGAAAATCGGTAGTGGGTTTATGCTCTGTGTAACCATTTTTGTCGGTTACGTAAGCTGATCTTTGTGTAACCAATTGGTTACATAAAATGGTTATGCATGATCCATTTTGACAGTGAATGTATTTTGTAAAGAAATGACATAACTAGGCATAGCTTACATTTTTTATATGCAATATTATAAATACATTGAAATAACATGAATCCTCATATTTTCAGGTAATGTATTTATGATTTTAATCCATAGAAATAAGTGTTTAGGACTAATCCATATAGAAACACAAGCTAAAAAAACGGTGATTTTTCATATAATCAGGGGCCGTAATTCAGGTTGTTACAATTCGATATGCGCAAATATCATAAGGAACCAAGATCTTTGGGTTATAAACATGCATTTCAAGTTTCATCAAAATCGGATCAAAATTGTGACCTCTAGAGTGTCCACAATCTAAAAACGTGATTTTCCGTACAATCAGGGGCCATAATCCATGAAGTTATGGTCCGATACATGCCAATATCGAAAAGAACCGAGATCTTAGGAAGCTGAACCTATATTTCAAGTTTCGTTGAAATCGGATAAAAATTGTGACATCTAGAAGGCCCACAACATTTATATACCATATTTTTACGCTATTTGAGTACGAGGGGCGGCCATTTTGTCTGTCAGTTTTGGTCCGATTTTTACGAAATTCAAACTAGCGGTGTTATATTCCAACGTTCTTTTAAATCGCATAAAAATTATGACCGCTATCAGGGACAATCAGGGGCCATAATTCAGGAAGTTACAATCCGATATGCGAGAATATTGAAAGGAACCGAGATCTTTGGGTTATAAACTTACATTTCAAGTTTCATGAAAATCAGAAGAATATTGTAAATTCTAGACGGTCCACAACCATGATATACCATATTTTTACGCTATTTGAGAACGAGGGACGGTCAGTTTTGTGCCGATTTTCACGAAATTCGAACTCAACCATCCTTAGGGTGTAACGGTGATATACTAAAACGTTTTTTTTAAATCGGATAAAAATTATGACCTCTTTAGGGTCCATAAGCTAAAAACACGATTTTTCGTACAATCAGGGACCATAATTCAGGAAGTTACGTTCTGATATGCGCGAATATCAAAAGGAACTGAGATCTTTGGGTTATAAACTTACATTTCAAGTTTCAACAAAATCGAATAAAAATTGTAACCTTTATAGGGTCCACAAGCTAAAAACATGATTTTTCGTACAATCAGGGGCCATAATCCAGGCAATTCCGGTCGGATACATGCCAATATCATAAGGAACCAAGATCTTTTGGAGATAAACCTATCTTTCAAGTTTCGTCATAATCGGATAAGAATTGTGACCTGTAGAGTGGATGGACGGACAGACAGGGGCGACGACAATATACGTCCACATGAAAAATGGGCGTATAAAAATGAAAAACAAGATAGATTTTGGCAAAATAAAAAACGCCCTCCCGGATCAATTTTTGTAAAAGGATTGTCCGAGACCCAGAATATTTTTTTTTTTGTGTGGGCTAATAAAAACTTTGGTCCAAAAATTGTTTAAATCAATCATTTCTTACATAATAACAACAGATTTCACAATAAAAGAGTGCATATATTTAACTTTAGAAATGTTTGTGAATGACCTTGCTAACTCAACTGTGGCTTTACATGACAGAGAGAGAGAGAGAGAGAGAGAGAGAGTTTTACGTCCACGACACAAACAAGGTCATTTTGGGACTAACCCATGGTTCAATTTTATTTCAATAATTCGCTTGTGTCTAGGGGTCTTTACCAGTGGGAGGAAACCGGAGGACCTGGAGAAACCCACGAGGTTGGACAGACGACCCTACTCCTTGTCACGTACAACCGGTTAATCAAAACCATGCCAGTTGACTTAATGACAGACCTTATGACACTCTGTGCACGCTCTAACTATTCAGCCATCCAACCCCCCTGTCTTTACATGGAAATATACATCTATTTACTGGTTGCCGAATTTGAGGATGGTAATTTGTATTTGCTGTAACACCACCTGAGTTTCAGTTATACTCCTAGCTTAAAATGGATTGTATCCTAAGAAGAATATTTAGTTCCCGTCACCTACCATATTAAGCTGCTATAAGTTCTCACGATCAAGGAATGTTGTGGGGCAGGGTGTCTGGGTGGTACGACTGATGCACTTTAGATCATAAAAATCTGTAAAGTGAAGCAGTTTCGACCCTTTTGATCCGAGGCTTGTACATGACAAGAAGTAGAGCTGTCTGTCTAATCCTGTGAGTTCTTTAAGCTTCAGCCCTCTGCTATAGACACATGTTTATGCAACTGGATTAGGTATGTCCAAATGACCTAATAAGTGTTGAGTGGATGTTAAACTCATCACATTGCAAATATAATCATTAAATAAAAATATCCATATGATGATCTCATAATGGTAGTAATGGGTTGACGAGGTGTAAGCCCCCATTCTATTCATTCTAAATAGATAAAGTCTTATAAATATTTACCTATCACTTATAAAAACTCGAAAAGATTTGGGTTGAGAAGAGAAAAGTTCGAGGCTTGCCATTTCCACCATTTTAACTTGGACAGGTTCACACAGCTCTACTAAAAACCTACAATATGATATAAATAATATCTTTTAATCTCATACATCCACTGTTTTAATGTACCATTTTAATTTAAAAGAGATTTTTGGGAAAAGCAATCAAGCAGTTTTGGGATTTAAATTTATTCTTCATCAAACTGAATAAGGATATTCACATAATGAATTATTGGGTCCCAAAGTCTTGACCAATTAAATTGCTTAACTGCTTAGCATAAGCAAAAAATGATTATCATCGAAGTATCGAACTCAGTCAAGGAATTCATCTAATGAACAACTACACCAAATTTGAGCACTCTATCTCAATTAGAAGCATACAGCCAGGTGAGTGTGCGATCTATAATGAGGATGTAAAAAAAGGAGAGATAAGGAAGGGGAAGGAGTTATCTATATTATATATATGTTCATGTATGAATTATTGCTTGACATTATCTCCCTGTAATTTGTTTTAATGTGGCAAAATGAGTTGTAAGAAGCATAAATGAAATGAAACAAAACAGGATTTAACACCCCACTTTTCTATATAAACCAGGCTAATGAAGATGGGCAACCGATTACCAAATGTCAGGGAATCTTCTTACACAGCTGCGAATTGTATACGAGGGGTACTTTTCATTGACAGGCCCTCCTTCCTGCACCACTGACAAGGGGAAACCAGGCTACCACAGCTTGAGATACTTTCTCGGCAAACACAGGGATTGAACTCAGAACCTCCTAGTTAGTGAGCCAGCAAAACACTCACTGAGACACTGTGGTACCTCCAAGAAGATGGGATAAGTTTGTTGACCATTCATTTGACTACTACTAGTAAAGCTGTTTTGAAATGCTAAACATAGTATGTCCTATGCATGACACTTCCCTCCACAAATAAGATTTTATATCCCATTTCAAGCATACAATTACCATTTTTTGGCACTACATGGATTTTATATACAATTTCAAGCATACAATTACCATTTTTTGGCACTACATGGATTAATCATATATTCATCTTTATTTGATGTTAAAACATGTTTAACATTCTCAGCTTCCGGGTTTGTGGCAAGTATTTTTGCACCGCAGGAGTTTGAGGCGTAATTATTGCGTAGCTTCTTCTGACTGGTTGTTGCCGTGTTTGCCTGGCCGGATGATGATTGGCCTAATATAAAAAAAAAACTAATTTATTAATCATAATAACTCAAAAAAACTATTGATTATTTCCAAAATTTGCCTTTAAAAAGAACCAGCGGCTGCAATATATCCCCACATTTTGCAAGAGATGTATAGAGAACAAACTAAACAAGATGACTAGTCATCACCATCCCGCGCCCTTGAACTTGTTTGGAAGGCATAAGGAAAAACAACTTCTTGGAATATCAATGGGACTTGTCAGAAGATTCATACAGTAGCTTGGCAAGGCAAAGTCGCTACTCCCTGTAAGGTTTGCACAACAACCTTTGCCTACCTCATCAATCAACTGCTGTATGTTAAATATTAAGCTTATACATCAGAAAATAAAATACTTTAATAGTTTGATGTTTGTATAAAGTTTTAAAAAGATTTCTCTGAACAGATAATGAAATGTGCACTAGAAATGAAATCGGGACGAAAGGAAGGTTATCAAAATATAAATTAATAGGTTGATGAATGTAAAAGTGTTACAAAGGTATCTTGAACAGTTTCAGAGATATGCTCTAGAATAATAATAATATAGCAAAAAATAATTCAAATGTGTAGTAAAAATCATTCAACAGAGAATTTTTTTTTCCATGGCAACACAAAAATTATAAAATCCGAAAAATTTCTAATTAGCAAAAGGTACAACTACTGTAATAGGATGATGTGTGTTCAAAATTTCAAAAAGATATTTTGAACGATTTACGAGAAATGCTCCGGAAACAAAATTGTGCATAAAAACTAAGTCAAATTTGTTTCCATGGAAACACAAAACTGATTAAATCCCAGAAATTCTAAATTAGCAAAAGGCACAACTAATATACTCTTCAAAAAAAGTAGGGGATATTTAAATGCAAATACCTATGCAGGTTGTGATATGATAAATAATCATGGACACTTGACATGCTTTGAGAGTATGTTCACAGATGAAGAACTTATCACCCCAACAGAACCACTGAGCTGCACATGCGACACGCAATAGCACCATACACGTGGGAGGGGTTCATTGTCAAATTTGACACTCCAAGGAAGGGTTGATGAAAACTGCCGCATGCTGGTTTATCTATCCATGTTTGTTTTCCTATCGGTTCTTGCATAAGATGTACTGTTTAGCGTATCTTTGCTTTAGCGTGTTACGTTTTATTTGACTGGGAGACGTGTTCGTCGACATCAACCGACAACAGTGCAAGAATTGGCCGTGGCTCTGCAAGAGGAGTGGGTCAGATTGTCCCAAATCGAGATTGGACAGTTGATTAGAGGCATGCCATGACAAATTGCTGAATGTCTGAGGATTGGTGGAGCAATTACTCATTATTAAGACCAAAATCAAAAACGTCCATTTTCACTTTTGACGGTGTATCTCTTTGCGAGTGAAATGGGTCCGTCAGATAAGCCGCCAATATGAACTGTTTATGTTCATGTGTAGGCAATTGGCCTGTTATTAACATATACTAGTTACCTCTAATAAAAACAGCAGTGCATTTCCGCAGTTTTGTATTCTTTCAGAATATCCCCTACTTTTTTGGAAGAGTATATAATAGGTTAATGTTTGTAGAAAGTTTCATGAAGATTTCTTGAATGGTTTATGAGATATGCTCTGTAAACAAATTTGAACACCAAAAACTAAGTCAAATTTGTTTGCATGGAAACACAAAAAATATAAATCCCAGAAATTCCCAAATAGCAAAAGGCACAACTACTGTAATAAGTCAAATTTGTTTCCATGAAACACAAAAAATATAAATCCCAGAAATTCCTAAATAGCAAAAGGTACAACTACTGTAATAGGTTGATGTGCGTACAAAGTTTCAGCAAGATATCTTGAACGGTTTATGAGATAATAATAATAATAATCATTTTGTATAGCGCTGAGTGCTCTAGCTAACAGCTGCTCCGCGGCGCTTTTCACAATTAAAATATTACATATAATATAAAACAAATAGTTCTAAAACATTAAAATGTCAACATGTTCATAGTTTAAAAGCACGTTTAAAAAGTTCGGTTTTAAGATTTTTTTTTAGTAGTCTTTTACATGTCTAGGTAATTCATTCCACACGTTAGCAGAGGCGTAAACAAAAGCCCGTTCACCAGTTTTAGTTTTTACTGTAGGAACATGAAGTAAGTTTTTATCAGCAGAGCGTAAGGTATTGTGGGGAACAGTTATTATTTAGACAATTAAAAGTTAAAAGACCGATCTTAAAATTAATTCGTTGATAAACTGGTAGCCAACGAAGATTTTGGAGTACTGGAGTAATGTGTTCAGATTGTTTAGTTAGAGAAACGATACGTGCAGCTTTGTTCTGAATTTTCTGGAGTCTGTTTATATCTGATGCTGGTAATTGGTATAGAAGCGAATTGCAGTAATCTAGTTTGGAGAGAACGAAAGCGTTAACATTTAGCGATATTTGACGTTATAAATGGTCGAAGTTTACCAATGTTGTAAAGATGAAGATTTAATGATTTGCAGGTAGTAGAGATGTGACTTTTCATTTTAAGATCGTGATCAAAGTAAACTTAAGTCTGCAAATGCTTTGCGAATTTGGGGCCAGATATCTCCCACAATGCGAGTTATATTTATTTTCTGTTTTAATATTACACCACCAATATTTGATTATTTTTGTGTGTTTACTCCATTGATAATTGTTTATATATTTTATTTCATATATTTTGATATTAGACTTGAATAATTTATACTAATAACTACATTATTGGAGAAGGAGAGATATAAACTAGGTCATCTCTGGACTAACACATGGTTTAATTTTATTTCAATAATACGCTTGCGCATAGGGGTCGTTAGCAGTGGGAGGAAACCGGAAGATCTGGAGAAAACCTACGAGGAACGCGGTAAATCACTGCCCCCCCTACATTATTGGAATTCTATTTTTATATGCCCATATTTTCATGTGGACATATATTGTTGTCACCCCTGTCCGTCCGGACGTCCGTCTACAATTTGTCACAATTCTTATCTGATTTTGCCGAAACTAGAAATATAGGTTTATCTCCAAAAGATCTTGGTTCCTTTCGATATTGACATGTATCGGATCAAAACTTCATGGATTATGGCCACCGATTGTACGTAAAATCAGGTTTAGCTTGTGGACATCCCAGAGGTCACATATTTCATCTGCTTTTGATGAAACTTGAAATGTATGTTTATAACCCAAAGATCTTGGTTCCTTTCGATATTCGCGCTTATTGGATGGTAACTTCCGGAATTATGTCCCCAGATTGTACGAAAAATCATGTTTTTAGCTTGTATATCAAGTTTCATCAAAATCGGATCAAAATTGTGACCTCTAGAGGGTCCACAACGTTGATATACCATATATTTATTCTTTTTGTGTATGAGGGGCGACCATTTTGTCCCATTTTCAAGCACCATTACGGTGTTACAGTGATATATTCAAACAGTTTTTTAAATCCGATAATAATTGTGACCTCTAGAGGGACCACAAGCTAAAAACGCAATTTTTCGTACAGTCAAGGGCCATAATTCAGGAAGTTACGACCCAATATGCGCAAATATCGAAAGGAATCAAGATCTTTGTGTTATAAACATGTATTTCAAGTTTCATCAAAATCGGATCAAAATTGTGAGCTCCAGAGGGTCCACAACCTTGATATACAGTACGCTTCAGACGGAAGTATGAAAATAGTCCTTGTGGGCGTTTTTTCCACTCAAAAATCGCGGTGTTTTACCCATATACACTCCGCGGAATTAGAGACGTTCTGGGCGGAAAAAAGTCCGCGAAAATATAAAATTCGCGGTGGATTATCGCCCGCGAAAATATTAAATTCGCGGCAGACTATAGTCGGTGGAAATATCAAATTCGCGGCGGATTATAGTCCATAGTGATTTGAAATAGTCAGAGTAATTTAGTCCATATTGCCACAACGTTATTAGAAAGAAACAAATATTTAATGGAACGATATCACGAGTATATTAGTCGTTTTAGTTCACCGGTAATTCATATATTCATAATACTCTTTTCAAATTCCGTTTTGATTATTAACTAAAGTGTACCAATGTATTATTGTATTCATATCCTAAAATGTCCGTTATGTTCTATTCATTTATAATGTACATCTACATCGGTATTTAATTCGTGAATCACACCATAAAGCACAGACACATAGCAATTTTCTATGTCATTAGTTGATCCGACAAGCAGACAATGAAACCATGTTTCGTGAATTCTGATAACAATGTCTGAAAATGGACGACAATAAACATATATAGAAGGCAGCGATTTGCACGTGGGTGTTTTAAAATATGCTGTTTTTTTATATACTGATTTATTATCCGTTTTAATTATGAACAACAATTTAACGATATTCGTAGAAATAAACGAATTAGCATAAATTGCTAGGAAGGAATATTTTCTCCTTTAATGGTAATTCAATTAAAATGACGATTGGGCTCCCAACGTTCAATATATACATGTACTTTATCTCCCCAAAATTAAAAGTCATATTGGATAGAAGCTGAAGATTGTTTACTTATTTCAGTTTCGTATTTGACTTTACAGATTCCCCATTCCCCACATTGCAAAACAGATCAACACGTCAAATCGTTTCAGTTACAGGTATAAGGCTTAAAAATATCATGTCTTAAATAGCCCCTTCAAATATTTCTTTTTATACTTTAACTTATAAATGCAACACACAAACTGCTTACCGTATTTATACAGTTGACGATAAATATCCTAAATAATAATCCGGTTCGGTTTCTTTCCAATAATTATCAATGAACATATCGAAGAACCTTTAATAAAACACCTAACAACCAGATCTTATGAATGGGATCTTGTCCGGACAGAACTTAGATTAATAGTAACTGATCAAAGAGTGAACATAAAACAGAACAAAGGAAATTGCCTCACAAAAAAGCATGCGTTAGTTATAAGGGATGATTTGTGTGCCAAATTAAATATATTATCACCGACAGGGGTTCACTAGTCCGCCGCTATAAGAAAC